AAATGACTCAGGTGAAATTTATCCTCCTCAGAGCTGATGGTGTTTGTGACTAGGATACCGACAGACTTACCAGTTTAACACTTCTCCCCCTGACCGCCAAAGCCACAACCTCCTTCATTGCACCTTAGTTCATTAGTGAAGTTTCCTGTTAAAACTACAGACAGGTTTGCCTCATTCACTGGCTTCATAGTACAGGATAAACATGTTTCAGATGTAACATTCTTTGGAGGCTCAGAGTTTTAGCAGTGATAAATGCAGTTCCGATAAACAGATAGAGCACTGACTACAGATAGCGTTCAGGAGTCCTTCAATTTCTGTAGATTTTACTGGGCCCAGCTCTTGGGAGTGCATGGAGACTTTTTCAGCGTTACTGTACTGTCTCCAGCCACATATAGCAAAATGCTGCTAAAATGCCCACTCCTCCTCCTCTGAAACAGGTTAGCATTAAAGAGGCCATGGAAGTCTGCGGGTGTGTTCAACTCTGTTCCTCCTCCCTGCTCCCCAGCCTCCTTCCCTTTTTCCCTCCTCCTCCTTCTCTCGCTCAACCTCTTTCATGTATTTCCTCTGGTTGTTCTCTAAGTGTAGACTTAAAGGTGTGTTTCATCAGGCTAAAGCCAGGCTCTAGGAAAAATGTTAATGACTTTTTAACCCAAAGCCATAGCCTTTTTCTTTGACACTCAGATGTAAATCTATTCCAGCTGTCCTACAGACACCTGCCTGTTCTTGGGGAAAGGCTTCTGCTACTGTATTAAGAAATCTGGCCTGGTAGAAACTAATCAAAGTCTCCAGAGCCCCTATTTGTTCCCACCCACCTGCAAACCTGCATTTTACATGTTCACTCCTCCTGCCAGACATGTGCCAAGGCCAACCTGCAGGGGGACCTCCAATACACCAGCCCCTGCATCAGTACCAGGGACACCAACCAAGGACATCACCTTGGTGAGGTCTGGCAGGTTGACTCCACCCACATGCTCACTCAAAAAAAACCTCCGTTATCTCTTAACTCTTACTGACAACTTTACAGGATGAATAGAGGTATTCTCCACCTCCAGGGAAACAGCAGATGTGATGGCTCAGTTACTCCTGGAACACATCATTTCCCAATTTAGCGTGCCGTTCCCCCAAACTCCTGGGACATCAGTGCTGGTACCACCTCTCCTGGCTCAAGTGGGCACCTACCCAAGATGAATGGTCTGTCCAACAATTGGAATCCTCCACCCTCTGTCTTTTCAAAATGTCCCAGTGAGCAGCACATCTGCTCTTCTGTCGGGGTCACTAAACATGAGCCCACTGACTCCTAACTTTCCCTTTCATGTTGTTCCATGCCATAGGAAGTAGATAGTCTTGAACCAGTGCCTATATATCCAAGAAGGTTGGGATGTTCAAGTTGAAAGCTCTGTTCCAGTCTCACTTTCCCCCATTCCAAACTCCGCCCCTTAGAAAGTTCACCAAGCAGTGACTCCTCCCCCAAAGCTCAAGACCACACCTACAGGGTATTTAAAACCCCGTCCCTAGACCTGCAGCGTGATTTCTTCTCTTTCCCCAAGATCACCCAGGAATCCAATGATGCAGAAGAACTTTGGGCGACAGTCCAGGCAGCAAGATGTCTCTGTCAATTTTAGGGTTTTAGAAGTTGCTTGTGATGCGCTTCCTGTTAACTTAGTTAATACTATATCCTTCCGGTGTCTTTGATGGAGTTGAAGAATAGATAGTTATAATTAGAGTTTTCCTTAGTAATGATAAAAGATAAAAGAAATATAAATATTATAACTGTAATTCTTGTTTGATACCTGTTTTATTATATGTAATTTTACTATGTTAAAGTTAAAACCTTCCTTTTTATTTAGACAAAAAAAGGGAGGTGATGTGGGATTCCTTTCTGCATGCTGTGAATTTGTTTTGTTAATAAATAAAGCTGCTTTGGTCCTATAACAGGGCAGAATAGAGTAAGGCAGGAATTCCAAGCAAAGATAGAGGAGAAAGTAGGTGGAGTCAGGGAGACACCTTGTAGCTGCTGCGAAAGACAGATGCTGGAAGGAACTTTGCCAGTAGGCCGTGATGATGCGCAGATTAATAGAGATGGGTTAACTTAAGATGTAAGAGGTAGCTAAAAATGTGCAAGAACCATTGGCCAAGCAGTAATGCAATTTATACAGTTTCTGTGTGATTATTTTGGGTCTGAACGACCAGGAACAAATAAGCAGCCTCTGTCTACAGGATCACACTGCATCTATAACTTACTATTGGTAATACAACCATTTTCACTATATTATTTTTACCAGCTGTAAACATGGAAGGTTTTTTCATTCTTTCTCTAGTGTCTTGTTATCTTCAGTGTAGAGGACTTTCACATCCTTAGTTAGGATTATTCCCAGGTATTTTATATTTTTTGACACTATAATGAAAGATTGCTTTCATGACAGTTTTCTCCGTGTGTTCATTGTCAGGAGGTTAGACAGCCACTTACTTTGTATCCTGCTGCTTTGCTAAAGGTTCATTCATTCTAAAAGTTTCCTGCTGGACTCTCTTGAGTTTATTATAGATAGAATCATAATGCCTGCAAATAGGAATAATTTCATTTTTTCCTTTTCTATTTGTTTCTTTTTGCCTTTTGAACTTTATTAATTTTTTTATTTTTTTTTAATTTATTTATTTATTAAGGATTTCTGCCTCCTCCCCGCCACCGCCTCCCATTTCCCTCCCCCTCCCCCGATCAAGTCCCCCTCCCTCATCTGCTCAAAGAGCAATCAGGGTTCCCTGACCTGTGGGAAGTTCAAGGACCGCCCACCTCTATCCAGGTCTAGTAAGGTGAACATCCAAACTGCCTAGGCTCCCCCAAAGCCAGTACATGCAGTAGGGTCAAAAACCCACTGCGATTGTTCTTGAGTTCTCAGTATTCCTCATTGTCCACTATGAGCAAACTGTTTCTCCAGTATATGAGTGAGATCCCGAATATGTAGTAAACTCAACTGAAGAAGAAAAATATCCAGTAGTAAAATGGCCAAAAAATACAGATATTTCTCAAAATTTCAAGACATATAAATAACCAATGAGCGTATAAAACAAGATCTCAGTGATGATTAGAGAATGTGAAACAAGCCACAATCCAGCTTTACTTAGATGGCAATAATAAAAACCAACGCTAACAAATGCTAGCAAGTATGTAGAGAAAAGAGAAGCCCTACAAACTCTTAGGAGGATTATAATAAAGTCATTATGAAAAATAGTATGGGAATCAAAAATATATATAAACCTATAAGTACAAATAACATGAAATTCAACCACTGTATGTTTGTATATATGTTCAAAGACGATTAAATCATTTTAACAACAAACTCCTGTCTATTAGTAACAAACACTCTATGTCTGTTGCAGCACTATGCAATACCCAAACTATGGAACCAATGTGCCCTTGAGTGGATGAATTAACAAAGAAATGTTTCTTTGTATGTTCTGCCACGAAAACAATGGTATCTTATTGACAGGAACATGGATGGAAGTAGAGATGGTCATGTGACTTGGAAACACAGATGCCACACATTCTTGCTGTTCTATGGAAACTAGAATGGAATTGTCCCTGGAGACTGGGGTGTGGATCACAGGAGACAGAAGAGGAAGATTTTTAGGACAGGGCACCAAAACCCAGACTGGAGGAATTACTTATAGTTCATCTTTGACATATCAGCACAACTACAGGTTGAAAATATTTATGATGAATTTCCAAATGACTAAAACACACAATTCCCAACACATAGCATAATAGTTGAAGAATAATAATTATAAAGGAGAATTGCCCTGATTTAATTATGATATATTATACACATGTATTTAATTGCCATAATGTAACCCTAAACTATCACTTTAGAAAAAAATATGTGGTGCTTTGGATAAGTTGCTTTGTAAAGCTTATAAAAAGTGGTGGAAGGTTAGTCATTTTTGCATCAATGAGGTTTCCAAAAGGAGCTAATAACTTCTAAAATGAAGGTATGCTACTAACCCAGAGACCAAACAAGTCTAGATTAAAGGGCACCATGAACTCTCTGAAATACGGCACAAAGTGCATTCTTCTAGGAGAAATGATGTCATAGTTTTCATTAGAATTTCGAAGAAATCTATTAAGTTTCTCAGCACACACACACACACACACACAATATCTGTCCCAGGGTAACTCTATGGGCTAGTAGGAACTTTTCAGATTTCTCTTGATGGAATAAACCAGTAAAACAAACACGATTTTAGAAGTAGCAACAAGTCAAAATTTTAATGTATATAAACAAATTCAATTAACTTTTAACTGCCTTTAACACAATTACTCATTTAGAAACATACAAAAGGTTATGAAACTGTGTTTATTTGTTCTTTGGTACAACCAGAGATGTTACCTCAAATTTTTAAATAAATAATGTCAACAATAAAATGTATGTATGTCAGGGTATTAAAATTACTTCTTTCCTTTGATGTGGGAGATACAAATAGGTTTGGAGTACAGTACATACAAGTCACAAATTCAGAATAAAGATAGAAACCACTGTATGATGTAAATAGATCACTTCCATGACACAGCTCGTAGAAAGATTTAAGCACCAATTTTATTGAATGTAGTGGGGTTTCTTCCTTACTATTCTAGCAATACCTGAATTAATAATATAACTGAATTAATAATCTGAGAACAGTGTCTGAATTGAAATGAAGATAACGATAGCAACTGAGGTAAACTGGACAGTTGATTATGTTCGTTGGCACACTGGCCCACAATAAATCACATATTTATCCATAACAAACTAAAGTTCAAGATCCTTGGAAGAAGATTATAAATTCGGCTAAAGGGAATTTGAATTTGATTTTTGTCTGATGTCACACCAGTCTTCCTTCCATAAACAAGGAACAAGACTTAATGAATAGCACCATTTTTCTAAATCTGATTGTCAAGTAGGACTTGTGTAATCATGCTGAAGATGAAACTTTTAGTCATTGCCCCAGCTCTGGGTGTTTTTCTCCCCCCTGCTCCTCTCCAAGGCATGGTTTGTGAAGAGGACCCCTAACGCTAAGGCTTTCACTTGTCAGGCCCTTTGCTAAAGGCACGTTGACCAGACTGCAGGGTGCAAGAAGCTGGCTCACAGAAACCAGGAGGGCCTGGGGGACCTGGGGGCCCAGGCACACCAGGAATTCCTGCCACTCCTGGAGGACCTTGTTCTCCATCTCGGCCATTTTTCCCGTAGCTGGCAGGGCCGGGATCACCTAAAACAGACACAAACCCACACGTGTGAACAAACTATCGATTAGCAGAGGACGCTAGACCATACAGCCCAGCAGGGTGCATGCAACAAGATGCTTAGCCAATGCCCTTGGAGATCATGCACAAGGATGAAACGGGGAACCCCATTGGTGGACGTGGATTTCATGGAAAAGGCGGAAAGGGATTTCCGTGTCTGTTTCTCACATTTCCGTCATGGCTGCCTCTGACCATATATGGCTACTGATTACTGAAATGTGATTGGCCCAGACGGAGGTGAACTGTAGGTATAAAATAAAGCTGAAATTTGAAGGCTTAACAGAAAAAGGTGTAAAATATTTTATAGCAAAATTTTAAACCTGACACAATAATATTTTGAAGCTAGTGGGTTAAGTAAAAGGCACAGGCATCCCTCAGTGTATAATGTGGCTATGTTGACAACACAGTTAAGTAAATATCGCACCCAAGCTCTCAAGCATCACGACTAGAAACTGCAAGGTACAGGTCTTTACATTAGTGAGTGCATAGCCAACTTTGTTTGGCATCAGGAGAGACTATCATATTATAGATCACTGACTCCACAAAACACATCAAAATTCAGAATTTTTAAGTGAAGTTTCTACTAAATTTGTCTCGCTTCATATCCTCACAACACTGAAAAACCTAACTACCTTAAGTCAGTGACTACCTGCACTATTAAAGTCGGTTTCACCTGACTTTGCATCTTGGCTACCGGAAGACTCAGAATCACACATGCTGGGCTGATTTATGAGCAGTAGCAGCTTCCCTAATTTCTAATAGGGATCCATAGCCAGACAAAGATAAACATAGACTTTCAGGACAAATGGTTTTAAGTTGTAACTCTATGAACAACGAGAACCAGTAAAAGAAAAAAAACTCTAACTTTCATCATCTACAAAATGGGATGATGTGTTTGTTATTAAATTCTGTGATTGACAGCATCAGTTAAATGGGGGACTGTCTCAAATATCAAATATTATTTATTAATGTCTTTTAGAAGATCACACCATGCTGCCTACAAAATTCCATAATTTTACCCCGACATGAGTTTCTCCACAGTGAGTTTCTTGTAGACATTTTTATTTTGGCACCTCCTGAGACAGAGTGCCCATAACAAAGAGGACTTTCTATTGAATGTGTCCCTCTTTGCAGCAACAGTGCTTTCATTCTATTATCCCAAAAGTGATTCTAAGATAGCAGCGTAGAAGCAACTGCATTCGCTATGGCAGTCTTGCTACAGGGATCCTTATTCTGTCTCAGTTTTCTTATCGTAGGCATTCTGTGGAGAAGTTGAAAGCCAAATCTTCACATTCAATTGCACATTTTTTTTTTGTAGGTAAAGGTATTCTCCTGCTTTTTCCAGGGTCTTTGGTCTTTATTTCTGTTTTAGTGGTCTAATTACATACATCCTACTATAATGACCTGGTCATAATAAATGGAATGATTATTGCAGATCTCATATATTTTGAAGTAAAGGTGGGTGGGAGACCCTATTTTATACACATCTCATTCTTCTGTGTGTTTTACATCAAGCACTGCACGAAGCAATGTTAGAGGGCAAACCATTAGCAAGATTTACGGGAGCATAATTATCTTTGAATTATGCATCTTAAGGCTGCAGTTAAGCAGAAATGTGTTATTTCCAATAAATTATCTCATAGGCTTTTATCCAACTCTAAGTTAAGATGAAGCAGGTGATTACGCATTTTCTCTAATGGGAGAAAGGCTTTTCTCATCCACAGCCTCTATAGAAAAGGCTGTCACAACAGCTCCTGTAGCACAGACCTCTCTATCTATCCCCTGACATTAGAGACAGCTGAAGGTCAGGTTGACTTTTTTTTTAGCTCAAAAAAATAGGACACATCTAACTACATACAAAAGGTGATTTTCATGTACTTTATCAATAGGAATGTCCCACTTAGATATGTCAAGTTCATCTTGAAATCAGATCAAGATCAGGAGAAAATGACCATGCTCACAAGAAGAATTCAAGTCTAAAGACTATGGGTGCAAGGCAGGCAGCATAGATAGAGCCAACTTTTAGGCAAGGAGTGTAAATTAGGCCAACTCTAGGCAGGTAGCATAGTTTAGGCTACCTCAATTCACATGCCAAATCTTCTTTGTAAAAATGGCTGTATTAGAAACAGCAGTGCCAATTTGTTTACATATTGTCTGCAGCTGTTTTTGGAAGGCAAAGGCATGGCTGAATGGCTGTCACAGAGGACCCCCACACTCAAAGCCAAGAACTATAAGCCTGTAGAGAGAAGAATCCTTGGCAACAAACGTCATCCACCAACAGGACGAATGCTCTGTGCCTGTTTGGGGAAACACAAGAGGGCAGTGAGTGGGTGGGAGATGGAGGATGGATGCCCCAGGCCTGCTCCTGCTAGCTGCTACCACAGGGAAACAACAGCCATGATTCAAATTAGACCTTCCCATTTTGGGTGTGAACACTGGTTCTAACTTTTCTTTCATGTTAGTAAACTAGTCCCCTCCCTGAAACCTTAAGTTAAAGGGAATTTGTTCAGCCAGATGTGGTGGCTCACACCTTTAAGGGAATTTGTTCAGCCAGATGTGGTGGCACATACCTTTAATCCAAGCACGTGGGAGGCAGAGACAGGTGGATCTCTATGAGTTCGAGGCCAGCATGCTCAACATATAGTATTCAAAGCTAGTCAGTAATGTGTAGTCTGACCCTGCTCAAACAAATAAACAACAGCAAAAACAGAAAGATTCTTCCATTTTTCACTCACATATTCCCAGCTAACACACTGCGAGCAGTGTGAGGATCTTACTCTGTAGACTAGGCTGGCCTCATTCACTGCGTAGCCCAGGCTGGCCTTCAATTCCTGCGTCTGCCTCCCAAGTGCTAGGATTTCAGGCAGGAGCTACCATGCCTGGCTCGGACCTATCACACTTGAAGGGACATGGGCATTTTATTTTGTTTTATTTTAACTTGCTGAGTTTATTCAAATTTCTTCTTAACCTTTGACGTAGAGGCAGTGACACTGTCCCTTGCTACCCTAGCCTCATCTTAGAAGAGCCCCAGTTAGCCCCAGTCAGCCTTCAGCAAGGGCACCAGCAATGCACACCCTTGTAGCTATGAATGATGGCATCATCGCCAGCATCCCCAGCACCCCCAGCATCCCCAGCATCACATAGTGCCCTTCTCTCACATGCCATATGCTGTGCTCATGGTTGACCTCATCTCCCTCATATGGAAACAGAGTTAGAAGGCTAGTCTCCAAGTCGCTGATCTAGAAAACATTGTAGTTAGCGATAAGGGCCCTTCACCCTACTCTAAGTGAACTAACCTTCCATAAATAATGATTGACCAACTTTCCTGAGGTTATATGTGTGGTGGGGGTGATGCTGGTGGTGAATTCGTTGGGTCTAACTTGACTAAGAAATAAAAAAGAGCCACAATTACAAAAATTTACGATTTGAGGTCTCTGTCATAAGAAACTAACTTACTTCAGTGAGTTTTGTCCTGTGTTCATGCCGGAGGTCAGGTAATGGCCTTACCATAATAGCTTATCAATTTCTTGAGAGCCACAGCTTGCTCCCCAGGGTGCTCTAGACTAGCGGATAGGGAGCCTCATATTGGGGTGACATTGGATTCCAGTTGGAGAGGACTCACTGCCACTGTTCACAGAGCAGCGCAAATGCTAGCTTGAGAGGCTACGTTACAGTGTCCAGCTGAAGCTCTCTGTGTGCTGAGAAGACCAGAATCTGGAGAGCTCCCGAATGCCTTGTCCAGCCTGTGCTAAGAAGACTAGGATCTGAAGAGCCCCCCGAATGCCTTGTTCAGCCTGTGCTGAGAAGACTAGGGTCTGGAGAGCCCGCCGAATTCCTTGTCCAGTCTGTGGGCCTGTTAACCACACCAACTACCTAATGGCTACAGGGCTTTCTGAAGCATCAACGGCCACACTGCCAAAAGTTTTCCTGACACTAGGGGGCAGGCGTGTTACACTGATGGAGACAAGCCCGTTCCCCTAATGCCTTACAAAATAAAATAAGGTATACACACAAATGAAGGGAAAAGACACACAGACAATTGTCAGCGTTAAGTAGGCGATCTGATGATGAATGGAATGACTATTTAATCTTTGGGGATTTGCCCCAAAGTTACATTTTTTTTTTCTATGTGGAGCTTACTTCTGTGCTATTTCACAAGATTCTTTATTTAATTTATTCCTTTCCCTGGTGAGTTTGAATGCACAGAGAAGTCAGGATTTATTATTAAATATTTTTCCTTGGAAAGCTCTGAGTGCTGAGTTACTGGTCACACATGAGCAGTTCAGTGGCAGCAGGCGTGCGAGGATGTCCCTTAATGAGATGACCTAACTCAGCACCAGCTCCAGCTAGCTCTGGTGAGAGAACGAAGAAGAGGGGGATTAAAGGCCCTGAGGTTATTTATGAGATCTGCACAGCTCTCGGAGAGAGGCGGAAAAATAAGAGGTTGGGGATATGCCCGCATCGGGTAACTATGGTGACAAAGACAAACTAATCACACTGGAAAACCTGTCATTTTGTGCTTTATATGAACCTAGACTCAGGAAACACAAATATTTCCCTCTACCACTTACAACCGGAGATACCGTTGTCAGGGTGTGTGACACCTGGGCCAGTCTGTGTATGGCCAAAATAAAGAGAGGATTAACTACAGTTAATTCTCAGCGTGGGGATTAGCAAGGACCTACTCTTTGGGCTTTGCATGTCTCCTCAATGGCATATATTCTCCTAGATACACCCATAGGGGGCGTGGTTCTGAATCCTGCTCCATAAGAAGGAACTGAGAGCAGTGGTCACTGGAAATAAGGAAGAAAAGGGACCACAAATCCTAGGAACCTGCATCTGGGACTATAGTCCTTAAATGTTTGTCCCTTCTAGTTCAACTAACAAACTATACAGCACGTGTCTGCTTTTAAATAACAAGGTACAATAGCCAAAAATGATAATCAACATTACAATGATGACATCTGGTCTATAATAAGCAATGTCACCCAAAAATCCCAGAGCATGTAATGCTTACCACTGAACAGAGAGATGTCGCTGGGAAGGGAGACAGAGCAGAAACAGCACAGAAAGATGACAGGGATTCTAACAACCGATAGCTATTAAAGGTACTCATTACAGTGTTTAAATGCTAGGTATGTTTGCACAAAAAATGATGAAATGATCTTTTCCCACTCCATTGGATTTAAATACCAAACTCAACAATAGAGATAACCAGAAAACCACAACTGGACACAAGGCACAGAAAATTGATCGTGGGAATCCCGGCCCCAAGGAACACATCTACATTACAGCTCCTGATCTATATGGCTCAGGGACACAGAGGAAGAAAGTGTGGAAAGACCATAAGAGCTAAAACACCAGGAAGTCTCCTGGGAAACTGTCTCCTGGAGATGGCTACTAAACAAGACTGGAGCCATGGCAATGACAATGGAATATTAATGTGGAGGGGGGGATTTTTCAGGGTCTCAAGCCTAGATAAAAAAAACTATAGGCAATTAACAAATGAGGGGATTACCCTCTCCCTCTGATGAGCCCCTTATGGGTTGTCCAATGCAAACTAGTTAGCCCTTAAACCATATATATGAATATATATATACATGAATATATATACCAACACCAACAGACTTGGCAGATTGCATTAACATGTACATACATATACATGTATATGTGAGTGTGTATAACAATCATAAAGAAAAAGAGGCTATCAATGATAATCAAGGTGGACATGCAGGGATTAGACAGAGAGCACTCGGGGAGGTTGGAAGGAGAAAAGGAAGGGGGAAAACGAGGTAATTCTAATTCAATTTAAAACATATTTTAAAAATGAAATTTAAAAATTAGAGCTTAAGTGGTATAAAGAAAGTGATACTAAGTAGATTTTAATTGAAATGTGTTCAAAGTTTTAAAAGGTAAAACTTTAAAAAGGGTGAGGCCAATATTACTTTCAGGTAAAATGTGTATTTACATAGAAGATTGGCAACAAGTTCCTGCGCAGAATGCTATTACTAGCATTATATTTGGAAAGTACCACAAAACCACATTCTAAGTTCTATTAGGAAATTCGTTTTTAAAATTTCATCCACTTGTTGGACAGTTAAGCAGTGGAATGACCATAGCGACCAGGTCTCCACAGTCATGACATGAAGGAAGGCCGGTGCCTCGGGAGGAGGGCCAATGAAGAGCAAGCTTCCCTGTTGCTGCCCACTAAGGGCAGCAGGAGTAAACGCTGGGCTGTAAGGGCTCCACTAAGTTTCTGCTTTGCCCTTAGCTCCCCTCGTCAATGTCAAAAGCAAAACTGAACTAATAGGCCACATTCCGTGGTAACTGTCATGTCAGAAACTGTCCTAAACACTTTACGTGACTGCCTGTTGGTGATTCTCAAGATTACACGCTCAGAATGACCTCCCTGGCATTTTGTAAACAAGTAAACTGAGGCACAGAGAGAAACTAATTGGCCCAAGGCCATAAGGTGAAGAAAGGACCGTGGCCTGATTTGAACCCGGGTTTCTAGATGGTAGGGCCTAAGCTTTCAGGCAGGAAACCCCTTGTCAGGGACGTGTCTGACCCAATTAGGCAAATATAGTCACGGTGCAAAGAAGAGAATGTGAACCTGTCTGAAAAGCACAGGCCTGAACATGCACCCTGGGGAGTGGTAAATGCTAACCCTATAGTCTACTGAAACCCATGGAGAAGCAACCTGCAGCAGAACATCCTTCTCCAGTGACCATGATTTGGAAGTTTAGCCTATATTTTTGAAAATTAATCTGAAGTTCAAAATTCACCCAATGATGTCATTGTCTCATCAAAGTAACAAAGCCTTCCCCCAAAGGAAACTGAGATGAAAGTATACATGAAGGATAAGGAGAAAGGAGATGGAGGATGCGGGAGATGGAGGATGCGGGAGATGGAGGATGCGGGAGATGGAGAAAGGAGAGAATCAGTGTGAAAAAGATGGAAGGAAGGGAGAGATGACCCATGTAAAAAAAAAAAGAAAGAAAAAAAAGCCCCATATGATGCTCAGTGTCAAAGGGGGGTACTCATAGTGCGAACTGTTTTCCTCTCTCTCTGTCTCAGCCATCAACAAACCCACATTTTATTGTCTGCTAAAGTCTTTTTCTTGATACTTCAAAGTCCAGCTAGATTTTTTCTTTTACCCAACCATAAAAAATATTCATTTATGAAAATATCTGGACAGGCTCATAAATCACAGTTTTAGATTGGCAGCGTTTGAGCTCTGTCCAAATTCAGTCCCCCTCCAAAATTTTAATAAGAAAGCAATTCCCGAGAGCAATGAAATAGATAATTGGAAAGCAAGGATTTTTTTATTTTTTGTCATAATTTTATAATTATAGCCATGATTAAATATGTAACCTCTGGCAGAATTATAAAATGGTAATTTCTTCTCCTAAATTTCTCGAAACCAAGTTTTCCAAATCCGTGATTGAAACAAGCCACACCTTACTTTCTTTTCTCTCCCTCCCGCCTCTCTGTCCCTAACTGCCCTCAACTAGATTCCAAACCTTCCCCAGCTGTGCCTCAGCTGTCAGGAGGGGGCAGCTTGCACATCCTACCCACTGCTTAGCTGAGCCAGGCCTTGGGTCCACAGAGCTCCTTCAGTAGCTGGGTTTACAAGTCACCTCCCCAGTAGACGAGTCCATTTCAGGCCAGACCCCAACACCACATGTGGAAAGAGAACACAGAGCGCCCAGGGAGAGGATTCTGCTGCTCACAGAAGCTGCTCTGTCACCTTGGCCCACACAGCTCTGACCTGCTCCTGCGTGGAGTTCTTTGCAGCTATGAGATGAATTCCCTCAATGTTTGTTTGGGGCAGGGTGGATTTTTGGAGGGTCTGGGTATCTGAAAGGAAAGCTTTTAAAATAAAATTTCAGTTACTACACGTACCACGTGAGTAACTGAGAACTTGGATTCCTTTAACGACTGCTCTGGATTTTGTAAAATGTCAGGGTTAGTGTTGTAGTGTGATGGTAGCACACCTGCCTCGTGTGTGCCAGGCCCTGGGCTTGATTCCCATGACCACCAACTAATAGTAATGATTAATAATTATAATAAAATAAATGGTCACCTGGGCTAGACATGGATACAATTGCACTCATTGCAAATTTTTTTAATAAGTGGAGTGAGAATGGACCTTGATACTATTTTCCTTTAAAGGAAATAATAGTTTCCTTTAAGAAATTAATAGTTCAAGCCTTGATATCTATCTGCTGGCAAGGAATGCAGACCGCAGCAGACCTGATTTACAAATCACTTACTTCTTCATTAGAGTCAGTTGTGAAAACTCGGTGCCCACCATGATGGTACTTGATAAGCTTTAGTGACTGAGCAGCACTTCCTTTAAAATGTTCCACGCACGCACATACTTCCTCCCTTCCTTCTACCGCAGAACTCACTTACCTGGGAGACCTATAGCTCCAGGCAAACCCTTCGGACCTCTTCCTGGAGGGCCACGTTCTCCTTTCTCTCCCAAGTCACCTGCATTTCATTACAGAAATGTTACGTTTCAATATATCAATAAATTTCTGTATTTTAAACTTTGAAAGAAACACAAACTCATGAGGCAAGGCCAAAAGCATATCAACAGACCAAAGAAGAAACAAACAAACAAAGGATTGATCTGTAGCCCCTGAAATGACTGTTTCACAAAACTGGATGTTCATTTTCAGTAAAACACTTGATAAGGCGAGAATCAATGGATCCTTCCTTGATATGATCAAATCTGTCTCAATCTGTAAGCATAACCCTTGACGGTGACCCTTACCCAGGAAGAGTGAGAATATTCTTTTGCCACTATTGGACATCATTTGGTTTGGAGAATTAAAACCATTTCTATTTTTAAATAATGGGAACATATATTTTAAAGATGAGAATTGGCTCAAAACCACTGCAAGCAATAAGTGAATTCAGTCATCTAGCAGGATACAAAATTAATACCCCGAAATCAATCGTTTTCACATATACAAAGAGCCATCGGTTATGAGAAATGGCAGAGGCTATTTATAGCAGCAATTAAAATACTCAACAACTAGACATGCGCTTAATGGAAATGTTCGAGTAACATGTGAAAGAAATTGAGCATTTCTAATGCACGTGAAAAGGCTTGGAAACCATCCTGGAGTGGACTGACAGCCCAATACAGCGTCATCCTTCTCCCTAAGCGGAATACTGATTACAACCCCCTTTTTTTTAAAGTGCACTAAACCAGAGAAGATAATCCTGTCTTATATTTTAAAAATCACGTAGGTTGGAATAGCCATAAAGTTCACCCAAGGAAAGTAGTACCAAGGACTTAATCCCACCAGTAATTAAACCTATCATAATGATGTAGTTCTCATCCACGAGGCACAAGGTCCTAATAGATACAAATATGTATGAGAAATTTGGTTTATAACAAAGATGGCATCTTTTATTTTAAAATTACTTTCATTGTGTTTTCTGTCTGTTTTTGTGTGTGTGTGCATGGGCACATGTGTGTGAGTTGCTTGCAAACACCAGAAGAAGGCATAGAGTCCCCTCAAACTGGGGATAAAGATTTGTGCTAGTGCTCTGATGTGGGTGCTTAGAACAGTCGTGGGTTTGGGTCCTCTGCAAGAGCAGCAAGTGCTCCTAACTTCTGAACCACCTTCCAGCCACGAAGGTGACATCTCAAGTGGAAAGCATTAGCGAGTTATCAAATGCTTAGAAAAAGTGAGGAGCCCACGAGGAAAAGAAGTTACAGCTAAACATCTATCAAACGACAGGATAAATCACAAAGTGATCAAATGTCTAGGAACCATGGGAAAACACGGGGCTGGGAACATGGCTCAGTGGTTAAGGGCACTGTGTTCTTACAGAGGACTCAGGCTCGGTTCCTCGAACCACATCAGGTGACTCACTGTACCTCCATTTCCAGGAGATCGAGCACCCCCTGTGGACCCCACAGGCACCTGCACATACATGGTGCACATATGCCCAACCAGGCACACATACACACACAAGCAGTGAAAAATTAATTTTAAAAGGATGAGCAAACTGCATGATTATTGGCTGGAGGAGCGGAAGGACCGTGTGGTATCTCAGCGGCTATTGGCTGAAGGAGTGAAAGGACCTCCCGCAACACATGATTAGGCAGCCATGAAAAGAAAACAGAAAGGGCTGTCGCATAGATGAGAGAGCCCCTGGGTTTGCTTCCAGATAAGCACAAATTAGAAAGGAACAGAGATGCTTATCCTATAAAATTAGCAAAAGTTCTATGGTTATGCAAACATATTGAGATTATAGAGAAACAAAGAACTGTGTATTGCTTAGGAAAGTGCAACTAGGCATGAGCTCATTGGAAGGTTATGACAACAACAATCAAATTAAAAATGGAGCTCCGTGCTGCCCAGGAATTCTCCTTCCAGACCTTTACTCTCAGAACAGCAAAATACTTTGGAATGGAGTTGGAATTAGAAGCAGCAATGAAGTCCGTGTTAATATTTTGGACCAAGATGAGATGTGTGTGCTGCTGTGCGCTCCACATTGCTACAGCAACGGCAGACTAGAAACTGTCAAAAGGATCATTAAAGGTAAACACTGAGTTACGGCCACAGAACAGACAGCTGCACATCTGGGGAAATCACAGGAAACTCTTTGGCGTGGTCTCCTGGACATATTGTTAAATGAAAAACAAATGAAATCCGGATTGCTTACCGAAGGACAATGTGGCTCTGTTCATAAGGGGGCAGACAAAGCTCCGTCCCCAGATTTCTACAGCATCACTTGTAGGGCTCTATGGGTTTCTTTATCATAAGAAAAAGTCCTCAAAGGAAACTAAGCAGATAGGAAGCTTGTGGGAGAAAGTCCTTACTAAACTCCTTTCTCGCATTTAACTTTTTAAACGGTGTAAATGTAATATTATCAAAAGCAAACTTAATTTAAAAATTAAAGCGTGCTATCGCAAGTGTCTTTCACTTCCTAACTTGGAGTTGATTGGGGATATCCTGCGGGTGGCAACCAAATGTGCACAAGGCATTTATGAGACAGTCGAAATTGGGGGCTCGGCAACTGCAAAACAAGGCTGCAAAATGTTTTCACATGTAAATAAAATATATATATATATATATATATATATATATATATATATATACACACACACACACGAGAAAGCCTTAGGTGGAGTATGAAGTGAGAGCCAGGCTGAGAGGAAAAGCAGGATGCTGAGCTTTCTGGATGCTGTTTACGTCACCTTCATTACTTACAAGCTCTAACTGATGTTCTGCACGTCCGCCCCCAAGAGCGGATTAATAGAGTAAACGTATGAATCACCGTTCCAACATGTATTTTCTCACACCTTCCCTTCCATGCTGTCACATCTGCTTGGCTCACACTGAAATGTCTAAAAATGCACAGCCTTTATTCAAAGGAGCTTAAAAATTAATCCTAATTGTGAACATTTACAAATGAGATTTATGGGCAGAAAGACGAATAAAACATTAAGCAAACTGAGCAGAAGGCCGCTCTGCTGTCACTCTTCGGCCCCGCCATGCGTACAACGGTGCATGCCGCATGGACACTGGTCCTGCATGTGTGCAGTTACACGTATTATGGTGTCAGGGAGAACTACCCATGTGGACGGAGATGTCAGTCTACATTGGTGGGGAAGGGACACTTGGGGAAGGTGACGAGCTCTTATATAAATGTTCCAGGGTCAAGAGGAAAACAATGACTAAGACATAGACTGGGTTATCAAAAGCCCTAATAATAAGTGTAGCTTCCTACTTTCCTTCTTTCTCTGAGAAAAGATTCAAAGTGACTATATGAAAGAGTGAGTCTCACGTTATCTCCTCTTCTTAGATGAAAGTGGGGAAAAGAGACAGACAGACTGAAGAGCATCTCTAATGACTCAAAATTCAAATTTCAACACAGTAGAATGCATTTTCTTGGGGAAATTTTAAGCTGTAAGCTTCTGACTAGTAGAATAAAATATTTTTCATTAAATATTACTGTCCTATATGTGGTGGAGTAAGGTTAAGGTCAGTTACCTAGAATTGTGTATTTTTTAATTAGTTGTAGTGCTGGTAATGAAATCCACCTACCCTGCCTGCCTCCACCCCAGATTTCAGAAGTAAACCTTAGAAAATTCTAATTTAAAGGAATCAAAGGAGGGAGGGGTGGAAGGCTGGGAGTGAAGGACTGGATGGTAGACTGTGCTGTGGCCACTAAAGAAGAAGAAACCCCTGTCACCCAGCAGGGACTGAAAAATGAGCCTCGTGCTTGAGGCCTCTCTTGGGGTCCAAATTTGGAAATGTGCTTTTCTTCCTTTCAGATGAGGCTCTCCTGCTAGAGCCAAACCTGCTCCACACAGCCGCTGTCCCATGCAGCCAAAAGCTCCTCCAGAAAGCACTTCAAAAATGTATGGGCTGGAGAGATGGCTCAGAGGTTAAGAGCACTGCCTGCTCTTCCTAAAGGTCCTGAGTTCAATTCCCAGCAACCACATGGTGGCTCACAACCATCTGTAATGAGGTCTGGTGCCCTCTTCTGGCCTGCAGACATACATGCAGACAGAATATTGTATACATAATAAATAAATAAATAAATAAATAAATAAATAATTTTTTTTTAAAAAGGAAAAGAAAAGAAAAAAAAACAAAAATGCTGGCTACAGTTAAGACCACCGCGAGGGCATCGTAAACCCCCAAAGCCCAGATCTGATCCTGAGAGTCTGGAAGGGGAATTGCTGCTGGACTGCTTGTAAAATTCCCAGGGACATTCCTCATGCAGCCCAGACTGGAGGAGGGGGCTCCATAAGCTGCCTAGAGGAAAGTTTGGTACTAGCACAAAGTCAAGATCTGAACCAATCACTGATTTGCTAAAGAGAACAGGGATGTGAGTTTTCTGTTTCTGTGATTAATTTCCCTAGACCATTTAAGGAACTTGAACGGTACACTGATGTTTGACCACATCAGATCTTCTGAGACTCTGTTGAGTCCAAGTACTAGGCTCCCTCCTGAGTTTCTGATTCAGTGTGTCTGGGGTGGGGCAGAGAACTGGAGACCTTCATAAGGTTTCAGGAGCCTTTCACATGGCTGTTCTTGACACTCAGGGAAAGCTGACTGCATGTGAAGTCGGGGAAGGCTGCATTGATGCCTGTGGTCCAACCGGTCCAACTAACCCAATAACCCACCCAAGCCATGGTCTTCAGGGTGGATGGGACTGCCCACAAGATTCATCTGGCAACAGAGTCCTGAGCTAGTGCAAAAAAGGACAAAGATGCATAAGCACCGGACACTTTCTGAGAAGAACAGAGCGCTCTGTGTTTTCCCTCATCTCTCCAGACTTACAAGCGTCCCAATTAGAGTCCATTTTTAACACACAGCTCTGCACCTGCCAAAAAAGTAATTAAACGAATTGTTCCAACTGGGGGTGCAGTTAGCCAACCACATCAGCAACTCATTTATAGATCCGAAGAGGCAGCTGACTTGCCCTCTGACCCTTCACAGCGTAATATTTGCCCCTAATTGGAGCATCACAATGTTAAAAATAATGTGGGGGGCTCTTGTTTTTTTATGTCACATCCTTTTGAAGTTCCCTGGAGAGCTGTCAGCAACTGGTCACAGCACAGAAATTCCTCGATTTACTTAATTCTCCATAAATTATCCATACACACCTCGGCTCCCATACCTCCACTAGCAAAGGCTGTCTGAGGCACCCTGTCTTTCTGTCAGCTCTACGAATGTCTTACCTGCTCACAAAACTGTGTTTTGTTTTTGCAACATTTCCTGGCTACAAGCACTTGGCTTGCTTTTAGATTAAGGAAAGAAGCAAGTTAGATTGCACCCTGAGGCTGAAAATAAAAGCCCATCAAGAATGAAGGTACCAGACTAACTCTTCAAAGAGGAGGGGAACAGCGCTAATCCGCGACACCATCACATATCCTGCGCCTTTGTTAGGTTAACAGACACCCGACATCCTTAGACTAGATGCTATATTAAGAAATCCCTACAACGACTTTAGAGTCTCGGAGTTTTCTGAGTCTGTGAGTTTGGGTGCAGATCAAACATCTAAAGAAAATGGGCAGCAAGGGTGTCTTGCGCCTGGGCAGAATAGCTTACTTTGGGGCTGCAGAGAGGGTTCCGCCGCTGGAAAGAATACACTGCTCTTGGGAAAGACGCGAGTTTAGTTCCCATAACCCACACTGGGCACCTCACAAACGTCCCTACAACCCCAACTCCAGGGTGTCTGATGCACTCTTTGGCCTCCATGGGAACCCCCATATTCAGACACATACACGTAATTGAAAATAAGATAAAACTTACCTTTAGGTCCTCTTAACCCAAGAGCGCCAGGGGGGCCCTTAATGCCAGGGAGACCACGAATTCCCATTTGACCCGGGAAACCATTCTCTCCAGGGGGGCCTGGAGGCCCAGGGGGACCAGGCCTCCCAGGAAGACCTGAGGCTCCTGCATCTGGTCTCTTGAGACTAGCAGCCATTTCAGCAAAATGCTCTGAAAGATAATAAAAAAAAGACTGCAGGTCACAAACACAACGATTGGCCCAGGAGAAGAGGATAACATCCCCAGCGACCTTTCCTGAGCTTGCCCTGGATCTATCTGGCACAGCTATTTTGAGACAACTCGGGGTGAGGGGGTTTTGAGAGGAGTGGTGATCCAGAACCTTGAGAAAGACACCAGAATCCTATCTGGTACTCGGTGAAACCCCAGGATGCGAAGAAATTGAGTTTTTTATCATGCATGGGTGGAAATGTTGTCTCGGAGCTTTAAAAAAACAAAACAAAACAAAACCGAAGCATAGCTCAAAATTAAGGTTCAGACACTCTTTGAGATCGATCATCGAAACTAAAAGCTTTTTTGGTTCAAAGCAATTCTATAATCTGAAATATCATGAGAATTCGTGGCTTCTAATAATTCTTTCCCCTCCAGTTTGTTTTCATGTTTGGAGTAGGTAACAATCATTAAAAATAACCTTCCTTGAAAATAGTCACAGTTTGTCTTAAAAATTAATAACTCTGTGGGCTTCTTACATACATTCAGAATCAGCTTCCAAAGCTGTGGAAGGCAAGAAAATCCACCCCATTAAAATGCTGAGGCAAGTATTCTAGTGCAATATTGTTTTTAAAGCTTTAGGGTAAATAAAAAAAAAAAAAACAGGAACTAAAAACACATTTTGATCCAACAATTTAAAAATTACTTAAGTATGACTATTTTGAATTTCTTAATTTATAAACATAAAATTATAATTTTCCAGATATGTTAGTAATGCTTAAAGCTCAAATAGGAGCCAAAATAAAGTGTGTGCAGTGACGAGACTTATGTTGGCTTACGAATACAGAAATATTCGTTTCATTCTCGTTTGGTTCTAGAGAATTCTACAAGTCTACTCGACAGAGTGAATTGTCTACCAGCACGTGAAAGACAAGCATTCCTTTGGGACACAATTCTACCATAATAAGAGGGTTTTCTGCAGAAAGTGCCAAAATTATGGTGTCTCCTCAGTTGGGGGTATTTTTGTACATATTCATTTTCTCTGTGGTTTTATGAGTAGGCAAACTCTAAAATGAATAATGATTTCCATAGCCTTAGATAAATTTAGATCAAGATTAACGAATACAGAAATACTTTTTTTTCAAGTCATTTTTCGGGAAACTGTTACTTGTTACTTTTTAAACATATGTTCTAAGTGGGTATCAACGATGTCCTTATGCTACTCATGGGCCCTGGGCTGTGAGATCCTAAAAACCATACCAGATAGACACTAAAGGGTAGCATCTTCAGGAGAGGGGATGCCTAGGAATTTGTGTTGCAAATGAGGGGGGAAAATGACATGTGTATATGCATTTGTTTCCCTATGTTAGCTTCTCCTCTGGAAAGGGGTGGATGAGACCCATAGAGATGGAGCCTGGATGGGGAGTGGAGAGAAGGCTAAGAGAGAAGATAATATTTTATTATAAGCTGGTAAGCATCACCTCATAACATAACTGGTATTAACATCACTCAACATCTCCCACCTTTAAAGCTGGTAACTTAGCCTTGCACACATACAGAAATAAAAGCTAAAGAAGCAAAAGCGGGCAATGGAAATATTTCAACCCTGCCATTGATTTACCTTGAATAACTCTCATGCAAACCTGCTTGATGTGCTGATCTGTTGGTGCTCTGCCCTAGGATGAGAAAGAAAAGCACAGGTTGTATTCACAGTCGTAAATAGAAGACTGTTAAGCTGTTAGGACAGACATCACAAGGAACCAGGTGCCGGAATCGATGAGAGGGCTACTGCTGAAGAACTTGGTTGAGATTAATGGAGCTATACCCATAGAAAACCCTGGGATGTGTCGACCACTCACCGGAGGGCCCTGGATACCAGGCAGCCCAGTGGCACCTTGTTCTCCCTGCACACCCCGGGGTCCAGGAGGTCCTCTTGGTCCTTCCATTCCAGGAAGCCCTCTGACTCCTTCAGGGCCCCTCAGGCCAGGTTCCCCAGGATTACCCACCTAGAACAAAGAGTGCACTATGAAACTGGGGCTAGACATAAGCAATGTTCTGCTTAGTATCAATACAAATATTTAGGTGGAATTTTAGGTTTTCTACCATTTAGGTCCTTCAGTGGTGTCTGTCTAGAAGTTACCTCAACTATAGACACTCACCAGCCACTTAGAATTTAAATAAACTTATAATTATTTTATTATTATTTCAAAATCTCCACTGAGATGAGATCAGTTTCAGGACTCATTTGCCATCCCTTAAGCCGCTTCCTAAGAACAAGTCAGTGGTTTTAGGCTTCCTCCTGGTTTTGAATCCAGGTCCTTACACATGCCCTACCACCAAGACGCGGCCCTGGTACAAGCAAGTTGTTTGTTTTGTTTGTTTGTTGTGAGTGTGTTGGGGGGGGGGGATGACGACACAGACGTCAAAGGACAACCTTTAGGAGTTAGGCCTCACATTTTCACCTTGTTTGAGACAGGATCTTTCTGCTGTTTCATATCATAAGCCAAGTTTTCTGGCCTGTCTGGAAAGTCCCCAGTCTTTGCTTCCCATCTCCCACTGGCATGCTGGGGCTACGGAGACTCACGCCACCATCAACAGCTTTGAAATGATTTTTGGAGATCTTAACTGAGATCATAAAGTTTGGGGGGGGGGTTGTTGTTGTTTTTGGTTTTTAATTTATTTTTATTTTATTGGTGGTTTTGCCTATATGTCTGTCTCTGTGAGGTTGTTGGATCCTGGAGTTACAGACAGTTGTGAGCTGCCATGTGGGTGCTGGGAATTGAACTTGGGTCCCCTGGAAGAGCAGGTTAACAGTGCTATTAACCGCTGAACCATCTCCCCAGCCCCAGATCATAAAGTTTGTACGGCAAGTCCTTTTACCCACCCAGCTGTCTCCCCAGCCTGTCATTAGTTTTTAAAAAACAGTTGGTAACATTTTCTGGCAATAAAAAAAAAAAACTTCTTCCTAGTCAAAGGTTTTCTCCAAGATGTGTTATTTAGGTATAACAATGTAACAATCCAAGAATCTATGGTATTTGACTTTTCTAAGATGTTTTTGATGAACTTGAAGACACTAGTAATAAACAGGAATCAGAAAATGCTAACATTAACTAAGCCAGTGCACTCAGAATACCCTTGAAAGTGATGCATTTAAAGGGGGGGGGGGCGACTTCACAGTTTCAGTAATAAGGGAATTAAAGCCTAAATATTAAAGAAGCTAACCAGCAAACCACTCTCTTCCTCAGCATGGAGGCATACATACAACACAAATTGCATGTTTTTCCCCCTGAAAGCACCACTAAAAGCATTTTTAAAATCTTCATATATAATAACTGCTTTTAAAAAGAGACTTTACAAATTCACTCTTTTGTGAGACTAAAATTTGTTGCAATTTGTAGTCAAGCAGTACAGCATACTGTTGTTCTGAATAAGAATGAAAATTTATAGGACAAGAGGAAGTGGGGGGGGGTGTCAGGACAAAAGGAAGTCCGGGAGTGCTAATCTTGCAGGTGGGGATGTTCATAGAGCGACTTCACCCTGCCTCTTTTTCCTGTGCAGTATCTATCTGTGAAGAGCTGTTTCAAATATTCCAATGTGTGCAGCCCAAGGGAAGACGTAAAGCCACAAATTCACCACATGCTCCCAGACTAGGTCCCACAAGCTTTCTCAATCTTGCTTTATGATGTAAAAGAAAATAATATTCATCTAAGTCAACGTGACAAGATGGCCTCTCTACGAGAATTAGAACTTGAAAGACTAGCTGGAAAGCAACACCAACAAAGAGATCTAAAACTGCAAAAGGCTGCAAAACTGTCAGGTACCCAGGTGAAAAACTCCAGCAGCTTCTAAAACAAACCAAAGAGATGCCAAAATGAAGTTTAAACATGCACTCCAGAACTGGCCACATTTTTACACTCTCTTGATGGCGATGGATAAGATTACTACCGAACAAAGCACAGGAGCTCTTGGATGCAAAGATCAGGATGCCATAAGGATCCTGGATTTCCCAGGAAGAGTTCTTCAACTCTGTGCACTGAGCAGACCTTGGGTTTTCATCTGAGCTCACATTCGAGTGCACGATAAAAGCTCCTATGTTAGGAAATTATTTTCCAGACTCTGGGGCAGGACAGTTCAATTTCTTCAGCATTGCTTGGGCAGTGTCATATACGAAGTGGGTAGAAGAGAAGGGATGAATTAAGAGCTAATTCCTAATACATCCAAATTAGAATGCAGTAAGTGTTGGTCACTACATTATGATCAATTTTTCTTTTATAGTTTAAATCTGTTCCTTGAACATCACCGAATTATTCTAGACAATGACATAAAATTTCTCTCACCAAACACATCAGGGTTTACTCTTTATAGTCAGTGCAATTTTAAACCATTCCTTTCAAGTATTCTTTAGTTGTTGTTTTTCAAGACAGAGTTTCCCTGTGTAATAGCTCTGTCTGTTCTAGAACTCGTCTGTAGACCAGGCTGGCCTCAAACTCACAGAGATCCACCTGCCTCTGCCTCTCAAATGATGGGACTAAAGGCAGGTGCTGCTACCACCTGGTCAAGTATTCTTAAGCACAAACATTCTTGAAATTTGCTGTTTAAAGGAAGGGATGTTCATACAATGTGATTGCATGCATACGCTAGTGTGCTTGCAGCCTACAAACAAGCCTGCATCTGAGCCCTGAAACCAAGTTAGGGTGGGTGCCCCTGGCAGATAAGGTAGAGGAGGGATCAACATGTGGAAGTAGGAGGTAGGAATTCTTATGAAGGAAAAAGTCAGTTCACACTAGGAAGTGTTATATGGCACAGTATATAAAAGCACAGAAAACACACAAAGTTCTAGCTCTCCAAAGTTCTAGACAAAATGGAAAAATCAAGAACACTTCCAGACAGGTGTGGTCTACTCTACTGGGAGCTTGATTTGATTCTACAATGGTTATCTTTTTTAAGTTCTTCTTTAGGATTCAGAGGGAAAGAGCGATATGTAATGGGTTCTTTTTTTAGTAGGGTTAAGTTAGCTGCTGAGGAGATAATTTGTCAGATAAAGACAGAAATAGGGAATATTTCAGAAACAGAGAGAATGTAAGAATCCATTGGAAGCCAGTAGTAATGGCCTTTGAGATTACCATCTGAGCTTCCCTTTTCTCTCTAAATTCTCAGTTCCAGATTGTGCTGATATGCACATTAGCAAGATGCCTCGGGTTTCCTATGAATTAGGTCTACAACTTTGAATTCATCTACTTCAAGGACATGAGCTTAGTTTCTATAAAATAACAAAATGGAAGAAGCTGATCATTTTGTGGTTCTGATGATTCTGTTATATTCTGTTATGTGCTCGGCTTCTCTCTCTGTTCCCTCAACTAGAACACGTGGGAGATTAAGACAGTTACTGAAACATTCCGCAGAAGCGTGGCTGCCGCTGAGATTTAGCCGTTCTCCTCACTGCAGAGTGCCTGCCACCTTTAAGAAATGGCCCATTTAGGGAGGGTGTCAGGGCTTTGTAATGTAACATCCACTGAGCCTTTTAGAATATCAAAACAAACCCCTTCTTTAGAGTGGTTGGTTCAGAAGCTAGATCCATTTACACAGTTAAGAATTTTTTTCCTACTGGTCCAATCTATTATTTACAGAGTAAATTTAGAGACTTATTTCCTCCTAGTCCTTCGTGGGATTTAATTTTATACCACCATTTCATGAAGCGGAATATTACATTTTCTACAGCTTTATTTATGTTTTTAATTTTGTACCATTTAATTTCATCATACTTACAGATCCTTTTGGGCCAGGTGATCCCATATCTCCCTAAATCAGTAAAACAAAATTAGATTAGTACAATTCATTCACTTTACAGTTTCCTAAACCATGTTTTCCAATGCTATTGTACTGCTAACATACAGAAAACCATATGCAGATGGAGCCCAGAATTGTAGCAAACAGTTCACTCAAAATGTGGGCTGCCATTCCAGCTCGGCTACCCAACTCTGTGCTTCTGTGTGAGCAAGGCCACCTCCCAGCCCCTGGCCAACTGAGCTGTTGACTGACAGGCTGAGATCAGAGCTGTGGGAAGTCCACCCAGATATACACGCTCAGCATCAAAAATGAAAATCTATACGTAATAAAATAAAAGAGCTTTTCTTACCAACTACGGTAGACATTTAAAACTATACACTGACATTTTATTTTTATGTTTCTATGTTTCCTAACTCATTCCCCAAAATCTATCGAACAAAATATACACGCTTTCAGTCTTTAAGAAAAAAAAAAAAACCACCTAGGCGATCTTCCCGTCATTAATTTTGGATGAGTTCGGTTGAAGAGTTAGCATATCTCCACTACAAGATGGAATGATTTAAATTTTAAAACATTCCCTAGGCGCATAAAATGATCAGCCATTACAGAAGCTAAAATGCGGTAATCTCAGTAATTTCCTTTAAACAAAATTCCAGCAACTTGGCCCAGTTCAGACATTTCATTCCTATTTCTTCCAGACCCTATAAGTCTGAATAAATATTAGCACACAGTTTCTCTGCTCTTGAGGAGCTGTAAGGCTACTTCACAGGAAAGACCTTGCTGACCACAGAAGGATTCAGGCATACATTTCCACATCAGGTTTGATCATTCCCGCCCAAACCACCATGGTAATGAGGCAGCGAGCCTGAAGCTCTGCACACAGACAGTGTGCCCTGTCCTTGTCCTGGAGACCCGGCGGTCTCACCCTCTGGAGATGGGCGTCATTCCTCCAGAGCTTATAGGGGAAGATAGGAAGCTCTCAGCCATATTTGCAGGCCACAGTTCCCTGACCATAAAGAGACACGGTTTTTCTGCTAGACTGTATTCCTACACATTCTGTAGTACTATCTGAGCAACTTGAATGTCTCCGTGTGAGACCATGGAAGAATTCGCTATCTCTAAGGGAATTCTGCAGAAATTTAAAACTACATCTCCAACTACTTTTCCTTCCTTCAGGATCGGGAATCATCAGTCAAGGTAGAGGGAAAACCCACTTAGCCTTTGAGATAATGGGAAGAGGGTCAGAAAGAGAAATCGTATTTTTTCAAAAATTTCGAAGTCTTATATCCCCAATTAAAAGAAAAAGTCTTACAAGATCGCCCCTTTCCCCAGCTTCACCTTCTTCACCAGAGGCACCCTAAAAAAAATTAAGATAAAATGTCAGATGTTTTTCAATCATCTATTCATGAGTCAGCATTAACCAATCAACACTGATGAGCATTTCTAGGTGCCCAAATGCCCCCACGGATCATGTAGGAGCTCTCGATTCCATACCAGCAGGCTAACCCTAACCAAAAAAAAAAAAAAAAAACAGTAGATGAGAGAGGACAGAGGTGAGACCTGGTATCAGTTACTGACTGAGTTTAATTTATTTCATTAAGCCAACAAGGATATCTAGAAATTTTAAAGTTCAATAACCCTTGAAAGTGGCACCCTACAGTAGAAATAGGTATCCAGACACAGGGCTGACTCTATTTACACATTTAATTTGCTGAGGTCTTAATTACACAATACTTAAAATGCTATTTTGTGGCTTTGAAAGTCCATGTCATCTGACTAAAACCCGGCAAGCCAGAGAGTCGGGGCCACACTATTCAAATGAAGAGCACAGCACAGCACAAGAGACAGCCGCTAGCTCCAGCATATGAACACAGCCTGGCTGCACAGCAAACCTCATTGTAGCGTTCACTCGCTCTACAGTACACGGAGAAAAGCTCTGAGTCACCATCGTTCACCACGCCCGCAAACCAGCCAGCCGTGCCCTTGAGAAGTGGCATATAGCCAATACCACCAACCAGCCCACACAGCTTACCTGCTCACCCTTGGGACCTGGTTCGCCAAATACACCCTGAAATGAATAAGATTTAACACTTATTCAGTATTCTGAGTCGTGTGTGCAATTTCAGATGAGCCAACATCCCCGAATGGAATGATGGATGGTGTGTTGACTGAGAGCTCCCCATTTCTCGCTGCTAAATGAGGACCAGATGAGACCTGTGCTTATTGATACTTGTTCTCAAAATCGCTGGCAACAGGGGAACATTCTTTGACTATATCCATGTTAATGAACATTCACTGATAGGAATATAAACTTAGAACTAAATAAAAACTATAACTACAACTGGTACTTCAGCCTTTATTTCTCTTTCTTCCAGGAATTTACTTTTTTGTTTTGTTTCTTTCTTTTCAGTGTCATCTCTCGCTAACTTCATTTGCTTTCACGTGTTTCTTTGTGATAATCGTTAGAGACAGTCGTCACTGGACAAAGCAAGCTTGATTTCTCAACAAAGAAGGATTCATCATTCCAGATGAAAAGGCGTGTAGAATGCTGGATCTCTTACCCTGTCGCCTTTCATTCCAGGAAGTCCAGGGGGCCCAGGCAAGCCAGGAAGGCCAGGGCTCCCACGAGGTCCCTGGAAAACAAACAGAGAAATCTCCAAAGTCGCAGTACCCACAATACTCAATGTTGACAGGCCAGACAGGGCGCTGGGGTATCAACACATATCTAAATTTAATGTGTGGTTGGTTTAGAGCTGCCCCCTTCAGTTTGGCTCCGTCTTGTAACCCAGAAGAGGGGCCAGTGGCCTCCCACCTTCCACCCCACCTCTGAGTTCCCACTGCACAACTCAGCAACAGTAGACTCTTTCAGTCAAGGTCCCATGGGCCGCTGTCGCCTCTACTATGTAAACAGGAGCTACACAAGAAGCAAAAGCCGGCATTCATCCACAGTTCTCTTCCATTCCAAGAAGAGGCAGATGCCAAATGCAGCACTCCAAGCCTCTCTAGATTTTCAAACGCATTCAAACCACACTGATTAAAATAAATACTCGCGGAGGATATGATAGATAGAATTTGAAATTCCATATTTCCAGTTTCACATTTCATATACAACAAAAAATGTATAGCTGATCAGACAACCTGTTGTAAATTGGTTTTTCTTCCCCTTCCTGTTTCAAAAACCGTATCTGCTTTGTAGGAAGCAAACACGTAGAGATTGGAAACATCACTTACCAGTTTGCCTGTTATGCCTGGGGACCCTTCTGGTCCTACTTCCCCTCTACTTCCCTGTGAAAACATACATGTTGTCATCAGCTGTATGTTTAGGCCAGAGTCAAATGCTTAATTGTTATATGAAAAAATAAATAACATTCCATATAGGTTTTTGTTAAAATTTAGGAGTTGCCAAGATCCTCTCCCTTCACTGCGGTTGAAGGTGCAAGCCACTCTATCAAGATCTAATTATCCTCTGTGCACACTCTTCACGGGACCTGCTCGTGCTCTTCCAAGGATGCAGGACATTGGAAATATCCACAGTCTGTACATGCAATGACAATTAGCAAGGCCCAGCATGTAAGTCACATTCTATTTTACGTTATGGATATTTATATATATACACATTTTATGCCCACACTTAGGCATGCATGTTCTTGGGGTATTCCAGACTTATCCATTTGGCATGGTGCCATGTCTGTGATGCCGAGCAAGCTCTTGTGTCTATGGACACCTCAAAGGAGCAACTGGAAGTGATTGCTTACCTCAAGAGAGGCATGAAAAGGAAAACATGAGACAGAGATGCTCGTCTGTGAATCATCACTGCACCTCAAGAAGGCACAGATGGAAGACATTTATAAACTTTCTGAGATAAAATGTCTTGTTTCCCTCATTCTAGATCTAAATATGTCTTCAAGGATTACAGACTTTGAAAAGTGACTCACTATGAAGATTTGCTAATGGCAATGCCAATTTTATTTTTTGGGCCAATTTCAAGTTGTTGTTTTTTTTTTTAATTTGAAATTTAAGTCTTCAAATTTCTATTCTACTTGAAACCCTAACCTTTAAAGAAAAGAAACTTTTGAGAGAAGGTGATGAGTGTCTTTTACTTGTATTCTTAAGAACTCACCACAATTTCATGTGATCTGACTAAAGCCTGTTGTATACCTCATGCTGTGTTCAGCTGAGTGGAACACTTGTACACAATCAACCACATTCCCTTCGAGATCTATCAAAGAACTAGGAGGAATAATTTGAGTTTGTTTTCCTTTAAAATGATATAAAAGCTCCATTTTAATAATTGATACTTCTAAATGCTCCTGGCCTATTCTGGACTATATGTTATTCATTCATCTTTAGGTTGAACGAGGTGTCAAGATCCATAAACCTTCTGAACTTTTGATCTCCCTAAAGGTTAACACCTTACAACAGCCTCTGGCTGTGGAATATAATTTCATTGTAGTCATTTCAGATGATTTGTAAGTGATTGAAACTCAATGCTCTCAAGTACTTTTCAATAAAATTTATATTAACCTGTCAGGTGTAAATATTTGGAATAATACATTGGTCCTTAATCCCTTGAGCATCTTGGAAACCAGAGGCAGGGCCACGAGGATAGAAGCAGCTGTAAGGATGTAAATCTAGATGAAAAGTGGTCACTGTAACAATTTTTTTCTATCCATCTATAAAGTTATCTTCTCTCCTCCCTCCAGACACCTACCACAAGAAAGGCTCATGCACCCACCGTTCCTTAGGTTATTTGTTTTTAAAATTAATGTCATGTTAGACCAATGACTTTGGGGATATGTATCACAATGGAGCAGAGAACAGTTTGAAAATGCCAGTGGCATATGTGTGCTGAAGAGAAGCCATCTTGAATTTGGAAGGTCTAGGGCAAATTAATTGGAGCAGAAGCCAACCTTCTCTTTCGTTAACTCTGAAGGAGAGTCATTGTCTCCAGTAGTATAGGCTCTGGTGAGTCCCCCATGCTCCAGGGACTGAATTACACATATGCTCACACAGATACCCTAGCAAAACTCATTGAATCCCTAAATAAAGACAAAAAAAGAAGATAATAAAAGCTGGGTGGGGGGGCTTGTGTGAGGAGTGAGGAGGAGGGTAGGATGTATGGGGTAAGTGAGTTCATAATACATTAAATACATGTATACCATTACCAGAGAACAAGCTTAATTTTTAAAAATTGCAACGAAAGAGAAGATTGGCTTCTGCTCCAATTAATTTGCCCTAGACCTTCCAAATTCAAGATGGCTTCTCTTCAGCATACATATGCCAGTGGCATTTTCAAACTGTTCTCTGCTCCATTGTGACACAGATCCCCAAAGTCATTGGTCTAACATGACATTAATTTTAAAAACAAATAATCGCTGGTGAGGAAAAGCAGATATCCAAAGAAAGCAGAAAGTTTGGCCTCCAACAGAGTCTCAAGTATTCATTTCTAATTCACTTCTAAGTAAAAGAGTCAATGCTGCTGCATCACAATCAAGGATGAATAGTAGAGTTCTTTTCCAAAGACCGAGCATCAGAACTATAGAACCTTTGGTTTATTCTTGGGAGGATCCCGTGCAGATCTGGGCTGCATGGGAGTTTATCCCTATGTTTACTCATCCCTCTTCCCTTCTGATTCTAATTCTGTGCCTCTAGAGTAACAAACACCCAGGAATCAGTAGAAGTTGGTGTATTTGTCTTTGTCAACTTTGCTTAAACTTCAAATAAAAGCTTAAGACTGAAACGTCTCATAAATCTTAAATTCAAAAATAGCTAAATGTCTTATACCAGCAGATTTGGGCAAACAGGTACCAGCTGAAAGTCATGCAATGGTCGTGACAGCATGCAACTACAGAGAGACATAGGCACCAGATTTTTCAATTTGATGTCCCTTCCCTTCTATAGGAACTAATAGACATTTATAAAAGATCACAAAAAATCTGAAAATTTAGTGTGACGTAATGTTACCAGGATTGTTTCCCAAAAGGATCGACTCTATTCCATCTCTTCAGTTTGTCATGAATCTCATACTCCCCATGTTTCCAAAATTACCCCAAATGCTAATGAGCTGAAGAATAAATAGCATGGTGCATGCTGGCTAAATTTTAGAAGTGAGAAATTATACATCATTATATTCAGTCTGCTCTGTGTACTGAGTGCCTCTCTCTGGCAACAACAAAAAGGGAAGGTGCCGATTCAACCCAAAAGATCAATCTTGATTTCTCTAGACTGTTTCTTTTTATCAATTCGTTTTCCTATTAAATTGGAAAATCACCTAAGCTCTACCTCAGGGAATAACTTTCCATTTGTTGCAAGGATGTTCTAAAGGATTCAGTTTTACGATATGATACAGTTGTATTTATCTTGCATGGCTTTAAATATTCGCCGATACATAGGCAGAGAGAAATCTGTCTGAAAGTTTACCGTCACACATATGAGCTTCTCACACCATTGCCGAGGGTTGGGCAGAATGGGGTGCAGCTTAGACTGTTCAAAAACACACCATCTGGTCCTCATATGGAGACCTCTCTGCTTGAGACTGTTGTGTTAGGATGGGGTGGAGGTTTCCAGGAAAAGTACAACAGGGACACAGGATGTTCAGAAGGAGGTAAGTCAGCAGACTGCTATCCCCACTAGAACCAAGAGAGCAGAGCAAACATAATCCACTCATCCAAAAGCCTGGCAAGTTCAAAGAGGCTTCTTCAAAGTGGCTAGGAGCCACTAAAATGCAATGCCACATTCGAGGCCAGTCTGTTTGCCTGCTCTGAATCAAGAGCCACTCACACCAATTATAAACCAAGCAGAGAATGCCTACTGTGTGTGGTAGAGGTTCCCATGAAATGACTGAAGCAGTGGTTCTCAACCTGAGGATCTCAACCCCTCCAGGGGTTGAATGACTCTTTCTCATGGGTAGCATAAGACCACCAGAAAACACACATATTTACATCATGTTCATCACAATAGCAAAATTATAGTTATGAGGTAACAATGAAAATAATTGTATGGTTAAAGGGTCACAGAATTAAGAAAGTTGAGAAGGTCAAAATGGAAGAAAAAAAAACCCTAATCTTCTTGCAATCAAATCAACAAAAATCAATTGCTTCGGGGTTACATTAGACATATGTTCAAAGCCTTTCTACTCAGTTTGATTTGAGATTTACAGAAAAATCTGATCAAATTCACCAACCGTAAATAGAAATGTGTGAATCTGTCTACAAAATGATGTAAATGGGAGAGCAAATATACCCTCCAGCCTCCCTGAAAGTCACAGAGGGAACACAGAGGGGTCAAGGGTTATGAACTTCAGAACAACTCAGCAGGGAATGATGACTCATAGATGTGGAGCTGAGCTCCAACTAGATAAATGCAAAAGCTGACACAGGGAAACAGTGCACCAAGAAGTATCAGAGCAGTTAATTGTGAACTTTACAGAAGTAAGTGTGACCTCAGCACGGATGTCAAAAGTGGGAAGTAAAGGACTGGGGTGATGGCTCAGCGGCTAAAGCACTTGTCACAGGGTTGAAGAGTTTGCTGGGATCTTCCGAACCCATATAAACGGCAGCCTGGAATTCCAACACAAGAAAGATGAAGACAGAGGATCCCTGGAATGAGCCAGCTAACCAGAACAGCCCATCAGTGAGCTCTGGATTTAAGAGAGGGACTCCTACTCCATGCATGAGGTGAAGCAAAGCAGGGAAGGATTTTTCTCATCCACTTTGGGTTTCCACACACATGCCACATGTGTCTATACACGTGGGAACACCATATACACACATGCACATGATAAAAAGGAAGAAAAAAGAGAGAGAGGGAGAGAGGGAGGAAGAGAGGGAGGGAGAGAGGGAGGGAGGGAGAGAGGGAGGGAGAGAGGGAAGGAGGGAGGAAGAGAGGGAGGGAGGGAAGGAGGGAAGGAGGGAGGGAAAAATAATATGAAAACTGTACTTTAAAAAGACCAGTACTCTGGAGTGTGCAGGCAGGAGGTACTACCATTTCTTGGGGCTTTTGGGATTGTGTTTGACAGTTTCATTCATCCCAGTGATTATGGGTTCTCCCACAGTATCCTAGGGTGTCAGGCAAGGATATGACACATCACACAACAGGCAAGAGGACTAGAAAGCACTGGATATCAGTGGTGTCCTATCGAGACAAACTGGTGGAGGGAGTACAGACTAGAGCTGATAAAGCAAATCAGGAGTTACTGCAGTAACCCAGAGGTGCTGAGTCAGCCAGGGTGAAGGAAACAGAAGCCAAAAAGCTCAGTAAAAAAGGGGCTGGAAGAAGACAGATCGAAGTGCCCTGCTAGAGACAGGAACTAGGACAGCAGAAGGGTCATGCTTTGGGCCTCAGTGACAGGAACAAAAGGAAAAATACAGACCCACAGAAATGTGAAAAGCGAAACCTGAAGTTCAAATCCCAACGCTTCCACCTGCTAACCTTGTCTAAAGCAGCTCGCCACACCTGAGAGAAGGACTGATCCTACGTCCTTCTCAAGTTCTGTCTCTGGAGAGATATTAGCTTGTGTTCCCTTCACTTACCCGGTAACAGCAAGCATTCCCTGTGTGATGTGTGCATGAGTGTGCGTGCATGTGCATGTGTGTGGGTGTGTATGTTCGGTGCATTTTTTTAGTACACAATAGACCCACAATCAATGTTCAATTCACCCATGCACAGCTTTCTGCTAAAAATAAATTGATTTAACAGGAAACCATCTCAAAAACACTAATTCCCGGACTCTTCCTCTGCTCCCTGAGTCAGTCACGCAGTGTTTTCACTGCCTGAGAAATATGATCTGGCTTTAACTTCAGTGCCTGGAAAGTCACTCACGGCAAGCATTTTAGTTAGAAATTCACAGGCTTCAAACCCAGGGGGAAAAAAATCATCAGCGAGCAAAGAGCAAGGCTAGAAACAGGCGCTGCTTTCTTTGGCTGCTGAGAAACTCTGAGAAACCGCCTGATACGGGTCAGTTATAGACACGTGTTAGAAGCAGACAGCCGGCAGCGTTCACTTTCTCAAGCATGGAAACCTTCGTTCCACACACTCAAGAAAGGCTTCAAGGGAAGGATGTTTAGATCTGTTTAATCTTCTCTCTTGGAGTGTTTGCTTGCTTCCTTGTTTTTATTACTGAGAAGACTGCAACTAAGAACTGAAAATGAAGGCCAGAGAGTTTTTAGGACGTCAGAGTTAAGCACATAATGTGAATTTTGTGAATTCTTTTTATTTTGCAGGTGTGACTGACTACATTATTCAGCACCCAAGGAGACCATATGAGGGCGACAGATCCTGTTAGATAGAAGTTATAGACAGTTGTGAGCTTTTGCCTGGCTGCTGGGACTAGAACAACCAGTGTTCTTAACTGAAGAGCCATCTCTTTGGCCCCAGCATGAAAATCTTGAGCAGTTTCTCTCTAAGGATTAAAATGTATCCTCTAGTAGGAGATTGTGTTGTCTATAAAACAAGTACTTAAGTTCATCCTTATACACAAGTTCACATATTTGCACTTAAGAAATAGGGAAGCTTCTCGAAGTTTAAATGGAGAGTCACTCGTAAACATAATCTCAAGAGAAGCTATAAGGCATCAACAGAAAAGTGTGGACACATGTGCTCAGAGTGGCATACTTAAAACAGCCAAAAGTGGAGGACCAAATACCTGTTCTGGATGAATGGGTGCAAGAGATGGGATCTATCTGTGTGATTAATCCACACAATTAACTGCTACGTAGCGGTAAATAGGAAAGAAATGCTGGAACATACTACAGAGCACAAGAATGCTGAGCCACTATCCCAAGGGACAGAGGACATACTGTATGGATCCCTTCCTACACACTTTCAGAATCAGCCGTGCCATAGGGACAGAAGGGGAGCTGGGAGGCACAGAGCTGAAGGAAGGGGAGCTGAGTCCCTGAAAGTGAGGACAGGGTCTCTTCAATGGGCGATGAAAATATTCTGAAACTGATCATGATGGTGGCTACATAATTTCATGAATATACTAAAAATAAGGGTCTTGTCTATTTTTACTGGGTAATTTATACAGCGTGTGAATTATACATCTTTAGAAAGGTTTTGAACCACACTAAAATACTTCCAACATGAGATGAAAACAAAAAGCCCTAGCCAGGGGTAGGATGTGCCTTTAATCCCAGCACGAAGGTGGCAAAGGCAGGCAGATCTCTGTAAGTTCCAGGCCAGCCTGATCTATAAAGTGAGGTCTAGCACAGCCAGTACCGTAACTCAGAGAAACACTGTCTCGGTGGAGGGGGGGACTTTATGCTTCTTTTAAGCACCATTTTGTTACCATTTTTTGAAAAGAAGACACACTGTATATATAGATTAGCAGTCCCAAGCTATTGTCTGTCTGGACAGACAGACATGTCCGTGCTCCAACACTCATGCAGTCATAAGTAAGGGACACAAAGCGAAATGGTCAGAGGGGAGAGTAGGGAGGAGTACTCACAGGGAGACCCCTGGGTCCTCGAGGTCCCACCTCTCCTGGAGGCCCTTGCTGGCCCTGTGAAAAGAAAAGCAGGTAGAGAAACAGTTAGTGATCACCTCCTGGCCACGACGGATTGTAATTGACTGAAAACTCAAGTGCAGTCTTACTGGTTTTCCTGAACTTCCCAACTGGCCAGGCTTCCCGGGAGCACCTGTGTTACCCTGAGGACAAAAAAATGCAACATTTAGAGTAATTCAGACTGCGGATGCAGCCATCAACCTGCCTTACCCACGCTATGCGTTTAATAGCACTGATCTCCTGGTTTCGCACTGGGACTCTGGGAGGATACATAATCTCTTTCTTAGGTGTGTGTTTGTATGTCCATATGAATGCATGTTCACACATGTGCACGTGTGTATGTATGTTTGTGGATGGATTGCGCCTGTGTGTATGTGAAGGCCAGAATACATCTTTGTGTGTCATTGGTCCACCTGTGTTTAGGGAGACAATCTTGCACTGGCCTGGAACTCATCATGTAGGCTAAGCTGGCTGTTCACCAAGCTGAAGGCGTCCTTTGAGGACTGTGAGCACATGCCTGGCCGTTTACAGGGACTCTGGGGAACAAACCCAGGCAAGCTCTTCACAAACTGCACCGCCTCACCAGCCGCAAGTTCTACCAGGTCATGTTTCACCTACTTTACTCTAAAGAAATGTAAGAAAAGCTATGTTAGCACTTTGTTTTCTCTCTTTCTCCTGTTGTTTTTAATAACTTGTTCTTTAATTCTCTGTAGAATATAGTCCAACATTCATTCTATGGATTAATAGTATAGTCGCTATTTTAAATAGCCAGAAACCACAAGGCTGCCTCTGTCTTTTATCCTAGCGAAAGGCTGACGTTCTCATGAAGTCTGGTCAGCAGATTTCTGCAGCTGGGAAAGAGATTGAGCACGTGACCCATTAAAGCTTTTTGCTTTCTGATTTCTCCCAGTAGTTAAATATAAAACCAAATCCAGACGGAATGTATTAAAATTATAACAAAATAAACTTCTAAAGGGATAAAGCGAATGCTAACTGACAGGGTTTTTTGTTTTGTTGTTGTTGTCTGTTTGTTTGTTTGTTTACCTTTTCACCGGCCACGCCTTTCTCACCAGGAATCCCAGGTACACCCTAAAAGAATACACACAGATTCTGGGTTTAGGCATCTCATCTGACAATCCATCAAACACCAAAGCTGTCAGAGAAGAGGTGGAAGGGATCATGGCAGCCTCAAGAGCAGTGTGGGAGAGGCTGCCATCTCCCAAATGGGTCAGTGCGGGACCTACATATGGTGTGCAGCCAGCTCTGCTTTGCTGTCCCCGGCTTGCTAAGGCTGAACCGTAAGGAAAATCTCCAAGCTAAAGCTATTTTTCGGAATGACTTTTCAAGCTAGAACTCAACCCTGTCCTCACATCAACAGACAACCTTCCGGGCAGGACAGATGCTACAGGGACGTGACATTACTTCTTGTACAGAATAATAAAACCCTCATTTCAGTATTGGGAGTCCTCATATGCCCTGGCAGCTTACAGAGTGCCAGATGCCATAACAGATTGGGAGTCAGTTCTTGATACTACCAAATATCCTTTGTTAACTCAAAAGATTTGCCTTCAGAGACTCAAAAAACACAAACAATGTATTTCCTATGAATTTTCAGTCATAGTAATAAAGGGAAATACCAGTTGCAGTGTTTCAAAATATCACCTAACCCAAGACTGGTAACTTTTCTCAGACTGTCCCTGAGAATTCTTACAATCTCCTCGTGTCTCAGCCCTGCTACCAAGAACTGCAAGACTGGCTAAAAGTAAGACAAGAGGCAGCAGTGCCCACTGCCCTGGACTATTCAAGGAAGGTAGTAGAGAAGGCAGACCCAAACCATAAAGCTAAATGGTGCGTACACATAATGTACTACTCTCTTTATGCTTCTTGGGCAAATGACCAGCTAATCACAGGGGGAAAAAACATCAAAAATGTAAACATTAAAATAAGAAAACAAAAAAAATAGAGCATCATTTTTTCCATCAAAACTTAACAAATTTCATAACATAGTCATCCCTCTGAATTCATCTTTTTTTACCCCATCCATAAAACATGAACATGTAAGCAATCCAAGAGGAGCACGTACCGGCAACCCCTGCAAGCCCACATCACCCGGAGGTCCAGGCTTTCCCGCTTCACCCTGAAAGCAAAGTTGTTAGTCACACAATTGTGCCATTATGAACGGATGTGTTCTTCGATGAAAGAAGACTGCAGACATTTCAGGTGAAAATATTTTTCCAGCAGCTAACCTTAGGTGTACTTTGAAATTACTTAGCTCGGGTTAGGTGGTGGGTAGGACAAGGGGCACATATTCAAACAGAGTTTCTTTCAGACGACTTTCGTCAATGAGTCTATTTTACTGAGTTCCTAAAGCAAGCAAGTAAGTGTGCTATCTTAATAAGAATTTTGCAGTTGGCAATTTCAAAGTTGAAAGGAGAAAAAGTAGCAGTGCTGTTTAAGAAAACTTCCTAGTAATGATATAATGGAAATGCTGAATTTAGCTGTGCAGAAAAAAGCTCTCCGCATTCACACAGGACTCAGCCACACAGCTACCTTTGTTCCCGGCATTCCAGGTATTCCGTCGCGACCATCTACACCTGGCAAGCCCTAAGGACACACAAAGAGCACACTGTGTCTTAGAAACAGCCACATTCCTCTTCTCTACGTTATTTCCTGAAATCCCACCGCTAGTCAGCCATCTTGGGAACTATATTTGACACCTACAGCTCAGGACATACCGTGTCTCCTTTCGGCCCAGGAGATCCAGGAATTCCTCGGGAACCTTGAGCACCCTGCAGGGCAGAAGAGGAAGAGGAAACCAGGCATCTTCACTGAGCACAGTGCACAGGTCATGCAAATACACAAAATCGACAGATAATTCAGAAAATCAGGTTGCTTTGCCGTGGTGAGGTCTCATCTGTTCTCACCCTGTCTCCCTTGGGACCTGCTTCTCCTGGAGGGCCCCGCTGTCCTTGGTCACCCTGTAGAAACACAAAAGTTCCTAATGTTAACAGAAGTTGCTTACTGGGGGTACCCAAAGGCTAGAAAACATCATCCACATTGAAGACTACTGAGTAACTTTTTTTTAAGTATATGAATGTTTTGCCTTGGTGTTAGGTCCACTAGAAGTGGAGTTGTAGATGGATTTCGAGCTGCCACGTGGGTGCGGGGAGTTGAACCCGTGTTGTAACTACTAAGCCATCTCTCCAGCTGCTATTGAGGAATGTTGTTCTTTGTCCGCAAAAGTAAATAACTTGATCACTGATATAGACATAGGTTAACTGAGGTTGTGTGTCATTTGTTTCCATTCTAGATGCAAGATGGTTCTGCACTCTGGATGTGCACGTGAAACAAACTGAATTTCACTTTTAAAGCAGCAACATTGTTCACTTTTTGTACGAATAAGCTAATCTCATGGGCTGTTATGGTAGGCTGAGGGATGAATTGGACACCTGGATTTTCTCTTTGCTATTTGGTGCCCTCTTCAATAATAGTTTCTGGAAAAAGTATCCAACTAATGATACATGTTATATGTGGCAATAGATTAGAAGAAAAAGTGATACGTATACCCTGGCAATGCTGAAGCATGCATGGGAAGCCCGTATATGGCAATTCTGTTGAGCTTGTCCACATTGGGTTTCATGGTCTAAGTTGATGAGGACAACTGACCAGGCCACTTTCTCAAAAGGGGCACCAGATCTCAGTACAGGTGGTTGTGACTCACCATGTGGTTGCTGGGACTTGAGCTCACGACCTTTGGAAGAGCAGCCAGTGCTCTTAACCACTAAGCCATCTCTCCAACCCCCAAAAGATGAGAAGATGTCTTTCTTAAAATATAGGGTTTTTGAATTGTTAAACTATTCCAAGCTTAATCCGGCTCTCTGTTGCCATTTCTCAGCTCAGACTGCTCAGGTTGGCATTGGCATCACCCATAATGCATTTCTACTTGAGCCATTCTGTCTCCTCTTCTCAAAACACACGTTTTCCCTGCGGTAACACAAATAACACCACCACCAACAGCACCCCCTGCACTTCGCGTCCTTTCCCAGAAGGCCTTTCCAGAGCAATCTGGAAACTGCCTCTAGCAAACTGCCTCTGTCCCAACTCAAGCACCTGATCTTGTAGCTCATCAATGAGTCCTATCTTGCCTTCCCCATTGTACCTTGGTAGTGAGAAATTCTGTTTTATGTGTGTAATGTCTACCTTTTTGTGGTATAGATGAGTAATAATGATTTCTTTCATCTGTGAATAATGACCCATGGGTACATAGTAGTCAAACTATGAAACAAGGAGATCAGAAACCAGCAAAGAGGAAAAGATTGAACAGTCTAGGCCCCAGAAACATAGTCACAGCTATCAGTCAAAGTATCCTAATAACCTAAACAAAAGAAAAATGCAACCATATAAGCAGGTAGCCACAAAACATACCCCCTAAGAAAACCAGGGAAATAGTTCTCTGCACCCAAGGGAAAATATGTAATTTTTAAATAAATATGAAAACTTTTGCCCAGGTTTCTATTTATTTATTGGCACTGGGGAACAAGCCTGGGGCCTTTCACATGCTAGAAAAGCACTCTGTCACTGAACTATATCCCCAGCCCTCTGTTTATTTTATGGCAGGGTCTCACTCAGTTGGTCAGACTAGCCCTGAAGTCACTCTGTAGTCCAACCAGGCCTTGAATTTGGGGGTTTGCTACCTCTGCCTCTTGAGTAGCTGCAATTACAGGCCTGGCCTGTCAGACCTGGCTTCTATTTTTCATTTCAATAATTTATATGTAAAAGTTACTTATGTTTATCCCTGTGGATAGAAAAGGCAAAAAGAAAAGAAAACTGGGGTAAATGGGGTAAAGCCTTCAAAACATGTGTTTTGGTTGAATGTGATAGTGTTCGTCTGTGATCTCAGCATTTAGTAGGTTGAGACCAGAGGATCACTGCAAGTCTAAGGCCAGACAGGGCTACATAGCAAGATGATATATCAGAACAATGGACAGGGGAGGGATGGTAGAGAAGGGAAGGGTAGGAGAGGGGAATGGAAGGGAGAGTATCTTTGTTTTAAAAATCTGTCCCTGATTGTGAGAAAAAGGCTACTTACAGCTGCACCTGGAATCCCCTGTGGCCCGGGCTCTCCATCTAATCCCCGAGCACCCTGAAAACGAGACAAAGAAATAAAATTCAGACCAGTCATGCAAGTTAAAGGGCATCATCATCTTTCTAAAGAAGCATACCAGCCAGACGAAAAGGAAACTTTATGTTCTTATCGCGTACTGTATTTGTGAATGAACACTGAAGAATAATTCATAGGATGCTTAGGACATGAAGCCACTAGTGTGTACTGTTCATCATGCCAAGAGCACTTGGGACAGCCTTTGATACCACTCTGTATATTCCAGGTGAACCATGGCTCTCTACTCAAGTGCTGGCATGAACAGAAAACTGGTCCTTATTCACAGAACTTAGCAGATCTACTGAACAAGATTCAGCAGGCAGCCTCAAAAGGCTCAGGACGTCTATGGGAATTCACTAATGCTAGGGGTCCTAGAGCCACTAGGTGAGTGTGAATTTAGGGGTAGCTACAGTGGACTCTGCGATGCCACAAGTGTGAGAAGGACTTCTATGGCTCTAGAAACCACCCCCCCCCCCTTCCCAGAAGAGGGAACTGTTAGACTCCAAGAGGAATCTAGACATACCCATTCCTGGACTGATATTACTTTCTATATAGTAATTTGCTCTATAATGCAATGGCATAGGAACTGTTTACATTACCTCCGGAAATGGTCTCAGACTTGGTTACAGGACAGATACCATCTCTTCATTTTCTTCATTAGAACCAAAGGGTGTTTTTTTTTTTTTTTTTTTTTTTTTTTTTAGAAAACAAAACTACAGTGGGTTTTGTGCTCCCTACATATTCTCCCTAACAAAATGCATGCCCCATCTTGAGATGTTCCTCTCATCCCAAAGCAAATGAGACAGCACTAAGATGACTCAAGTGGGCAGACAGATGGTCTCCTAACGAAGTAGCTGAAGGGTGGAGGCGATAGAAACAAGCAGAAAGCGGTCAAAGGCACTGGATAGATGTCAGGCCGGCATAACCAGGTGGACCGGGGAAGAATGAAAAACTAGAAAACATTTGATAGAAAGTTCAGACATACGTGGACTCAAAGGGGAGAAAAAAAAAACACACTGTGGAAGCAGAGGGGGCACAGAGCCCTGAAATTCTTTGATCACTAAAAGCTGGAAAGAGCAGAGCCCTTCTCCATTCACCAGAAAAGAAAGGATTAAGAACACCGGAAAAAGACCTTGAATTCATCATTCACCTTGCATTACCAGAGCACACCCCAGCCTTTGCATTACGGAAATGGCTTTGATGCACTCGCTCTCTGCCGTGTTGCAGTTCAGCATGAGCTCAGGCCCAAAGTGCTGTTACTAAGTAACCCTTCCACATCTGTGTTCACAAGGGGAGCTGTCTTTTTGAAGCAATTTGATAGAAATGAAGAGAAATGAAAAATCTTGAAACATATCAAATGGAGAAATACCTCAATAAAGAGCATATCAAGAACAGTAATTGGCTTCAAGGAGAGGTCGCCTATTTTATGGGGTGATTTAAATCCATGGGGGTAAAACGATAGCCTGGGGGTTCACTGTATCAAAATTGATGGAATTTATTGGTTAATAACTGAGAGATGTGCATCAAATGTTACTTAAAGAAGCGTGGATGTAAAAATAAGTGGGACTTCAGTGTTGTGTGTTTTTTAAAAAAAAAAAAATACCTTAGGGGAGATGGAAAGGAGAAAACAGGAGAGAAATATCTAGAAAGATCGAGTGTGAGAAGAGAGATTGAAAAAAAATGTGGTAGACAAGTCAGGCCTGCAACCCACAGGGTGTGTGGCTCTTGAGAAAAGTGTTTTTTTTTGTTTGTTTGTTTGTTTTTGTTTTTTTTATATACATGGTATATCAACAATGAAATCTTAGCTAAAAACTACTATGTTCTGTGGAACTGATACAAATTAGCAGGAAAAGGCTCTGAATAGAGCAAAGACAGGGCCACTCCACCGAGCATCCTACATCTTCATCCTTCACCATCACCTGCACCTCATCCTCCTATCACCTTCTGAGGTTGGCTTTGTCATGGGCCCGCCCTCCCAGATGTCATATCAAGATTAAGCCACTGCTTTGCTGCACATTCCTTGCACTGCCTGACTGCAGATTTCTGTCTTCCCTAATTGTATCATAATTGCTTATCTATTTACCTGCCTCTCCAAAGAAGTAATGCACTTAGTGCAAGCCCGATCTTCAAACTCTTCTTGAAGTTTGCAGATGCCTTGCATGGCAAGAGTCAAAAAAACCTGACTTCTGAGACTGGCAAAGGACAGGCTGGTGTCTATGGCTACAACTGTATGGCCCCTGTTTAAGGCAAAACAGCTAATATGGTCTCAGGACCCTATCTCTCCCTTTCTATCTTCCCTTGTCTTAGCCATGCTGGACCAGATTCATTCCCAGCATTGTGTCAGTACTGTGAGCACTGGCTACAAATAATGATAAATCTGGAACAATTCATCCCCACTTACCCTAATTTGCCCAAGACAGTACTGCCTCAAGCCCATGGGTTCTGTGCCAGGAATCCCACCAAAAATATTTAGTGGAAAATGCCTCTCTCTTTAATAATTACACATGGTTTTCTTGTCATTTTAAATATTTACAAAATATGCATTGTATTGGGTATTATAAAACATATAAACACGTAAAAGATAAACTAAAACGGGATGCCACAGGAGGCAAAATCACTCTTATATTATGTCTTTATTATAGATATCTCACTTTTTCTCCTTTGTCTCCAACTGTTCCTGTGATGCCTCTCAGACCTTGAGGTCCCTGGAAAAGCAAGAGGGAGGGGTGGCAAATGATTTCTGTCAAAGCACACACTTTTTTGCAGATGCTGATCCAGAAAAGGCATGTTACCATAATGAAAGAAGACATTAAGAGACGGCAACAGTATACACAGGCAAACACTTCCAATATAAAAAGAAAGGTCCAAGTAAAATTCTAATGCTTAAAATCCTTTGGTAAAATTCTAAAGGCTTATATAACTCTATACAAATTGAGTGAACACAATAATTGATGGCTTAAAAAAGTAAATACAAGCAACTACGACAGTGTTGTTGGCATCTTTTAACCCATGGGTAGAACCCACACTCTCATTGCCACCTCTTTTGAGGTCCATGAGGAGTAGCACTATTTTAACTTTTAAAATAATAGCTACCTACAAATCCATGCTGGCAAAGGAAGGCAGTGTATTATCAGAAATAGAGCTGGACTGCCCAACAACCACCTGTCACCAGTATTTATCACGCTATTTCTATGATAAGGAGTGTTCTCAACTCCAGCATGACATGGTAAGAAATCACAGACATAGAGGTGACTAAGCCTAAGCATGAAAAAGCGGAGTGGCTTTCGAACACTCTTTCAGTATTGAAAAGTCTCTTCCATGTGCTACCTGCTCAAGGGTGAGCCTGGGTGCTCCCTGGGGCGGAGTTGTGAGTGCATGTTCCATAGAAAGGAAGTTAGATACTTTTGACATTGCCAACTTCTCACATTGGCTTAAGGTAAAGGTGCTTTAGGTGGCCATCGTCTTCATCTTCACAGTCAGCAAAGATGGACAGTTCTAGAATCAGCCTTCATTTATCTAGCTCAGTCACAAACTCTCTGCACGTCAGTCAGAAAGTGTTCAAAATTCCTGAGTACAGTACGAACCAGGCTGGATTGGCACCTTAGGTTTTCCAATGAAATGCGGCCATATCAGATTCAGCGTTTTAACTTATGTAACTTGTTTACTGCCGCTGTGGGTAATTCCTGTACATAAAAAATTAATAAGTAGATGTGATACAGGAATCACATGAATAAGCCCTTAAAATGATTATTCCTTATAAAAATACACCATAGACAGTTTTATAAATATATGTATTGCTTTATAAGTGTGCTTTTATGTCAAGAGGTAAAATTCTGTGAATTCACCCGAAACATTGGAACATCTTCCTCCCAAACACCAGGAGGTGAGCAGATGATGACAGTAATTCCCAGTCGATCTGCTGAGCTACACAACATAACTCCATAATCTTTGAGAATGGATTTTTTTGAAAATATATAAACCCACACCTATTTTCATTAGATCCAAAAAGCAAAAGCAAACAAATAACACTATCTGGCACTATCTCTTAGGAAGTAAAAGTTCAGCTTCTTAATGCTTCCTTGCAAAGACTCAGAAAGAGCAAACATTCGCTCTCCTACAAACGTCTCTTAAAGATCTCATGTGGCCCAGAAGAAGAAATCACTTCTTAGATGCTCATCACCATTTCCTTTAGCCTTAAACTCTAAAAAGCATGGATCTTTACAGCCCTTCTCGCCCCTTTAAAAGACCAGTTCTGGGGCCTCTCACGATGGCTCAGGAGTTAAGAGCACTCCTTCTTTTGCAGAGGTCCTAGGTCCAGTTCTCAGCTCTAACACATGGCAGCTCACAGCTGTCTATAACACGAGTTCAAAGGCATCTTCTGACATCTGTAGGCATTGTATGCACATGGTGCAATTCATACATGCAAAACACTCATACACATAAAATAAAGAAGTAAAATCTTTTTTACAAAAGAGTAGTCCCGAGGAGAAGATCAACGCAGGAGAAGGATCCCGAGTTGTCTTTTCCGACTCTTTGCTGGTAGCCTTTTACATCGGCTTTATTTTAGGAAGCTTCAAATGCTCAAGGAAGCCTCAACACTTATTATCGCTGTAATTTAGACTAGGACAAAGGCCAACAATTGCGCTTCCACATGGTACAAAATTAACATGAATTCCAACCTAGAAAACATCTTAAACTTGAAGTATGTTATGTCCAGCCATTGTACGTCACAGTAGGTGTGGGACTGCAGTAAGAGGCATGGTTATGAACCACTAAGAGCATTCTAATGTCTGATTACTTTCTGGAATGAACTGCAGTAATCCCATGGGACTTAACCCACTTCGTGTTCAAGGCATACAAGATGTTACTTCTGTCATGCCAGAGCACTGCTGAAATTAAAACATATTGTCCTGTTGGGCTCAACATTTGCTTTCAGGTTATGACGTCTTGGAGGTTACATATGATTTTACATAGAACTTTTCTTCTAAAAATTTCTTGAAGGGACAATGTGGACTCTTTCTTATTGTGAAAAAGTAGTGGTTGCCTGGTACTGGCCGGCTGGAAGCACAGAGAATACCAAGTTCCTATGCTGTAAACCATTAATCCACACGCTAAAGAGAAGATAATACTGAGCCATTACAAAGATTTGCTTATCCTAGGTAAACATCTTTTAAAAAATACTTTACTGGGGGTCCTTGAGCTCCAACTTCTCCCAGTTCTCCCTGGTCACCTTCTTCACCCTAAAAAGCAGCAGAGAAAAATCACAGTAAATATTAACTAGCAAATGAATACGCCAGGTCTTGCTCAGGGTGTGAAGTGTGTTTGACATCCTCTGGATGATTCTACTGTGTCTTGTTAAATTATATGGGTAGTCTGTGTCAATTGCATGGTATTCAGGCAATACAGATGGGCAGACAGGGAGTCATTCAGGGAGATACTGCTTAGAAGCTGTTCTTTCAAGGTTTTCTAATGAGAGAGAGGAAGGCCAGGAGGGGAGAAAGAAGAGAGGGTATTTAGGTTGCAAGTGTTACTAGGAAAATATAATCACATCATGAAATCTTTTACTGTAAGATACTTTGTTGTAATTTCCATTTTGGCTTTTCTTATCATAAATTTACACACAAACAATGTTAATACATCCAATCAATTTTTTCATAGATTATGCCCATGATATCAATAACAGAAAGGTCACTTTCACCAATAAGAATATTAGTATTCATTTATACTTCCTTTGAACCATTCCATAGTTCAATTTTTGTGCAAAAAAATTTATTAATAATTTAATTTTTGGTTAAAAATGTCTTTGCTGTGGTGATCAGACACTTGTTTCAGTATCATGCGTTGACTAAGAAATACTTTCTATATAATGTGGAAATGTGAGATGGGGAGCTCTGATTTTTACCGTTGACCTGCTGTGATGTCGTTACTACCAAAACTTTTTTACTTACCGAATTTTTAATATGTTTTCATCTACAGAGGAAAGAATTTCTCTATATGTTTTACTTATAGATACTCTTCTTTTTCGTATTTGCCTAAATGTTTATTCTTCCAGATGAACTTGAGTCGCTGATCAGAAAGGGACAGATGGTGTTGTGGGTAATATTGCTTGCTGTGCTGTCATGAGAACCTTAGTGTGCATCCAAAGAACCTACATGAAGGCTGCTTATGGCTTGCACATGTTCCTATAACCCAAGTGCTATGGGGGCAGGGCAGGGACAGGAGGGTCTTTGATGCTTGTGGCTGCTAGCTTGGCTCCAGGTTCACTGAGAGATCTTGTCTTAAGGGAATAAATGGAGACTGATCAAACGAAACAACCAGTGTGCTTGGCAGACCTCTATGTGTTTACACAGGTGTACATGCCTATGCACACAACATACATGCACATACACATGCACACATCATACACACATGCACACATCATACACACATGCACACATCATACACACATGCACACACCACACACACACGTGCACATACACATGCACACGCACGCACACAACACACGCACACACATGCACAAGTCACACACGCACACACACACACATATGCATGCACACACACGCACACATGCACACATCATGCACACAGACACACATATGCACATGAATTTTAAAAACAGAATTGTCTGGGGTACCTTCACAAAAACACCATTTGTTTTGTATTAACGTATACTACTCTGCTTTATTCTTGAAGTCAGTGTATTTTACTCTACTTAGTAAAATCTTTTTTTCTGTTTTTATTTAATGAAGAAAGTTTTGTCATTTTCTTTATATTAGACTTGAATACTGCTGGTTTGTCCAAAGCCATCTGCACGTGGGTTTTTATTGTCATTGGGAACGTCTCTCATATTATCTAGTTGTTATTGGGACATTTTGTTATTTTGTAAACTCTGTCATACTTTAAAATGTTAGAATATTCTATAACGAAGTCTGCTTCCCGGGCTGTGGATATAGCCCCATGACAGAGCACTGGTTAGGCACGCCATAGCCCTAAGTTCAAGTCTCCAGCATCATTGAAGAAAGAGAGAAAAGTCTGATGGCTGTCTCTTACAGGAAGGCAACTCTACGGATGGAGAAAATACTAAATATAACACTTTACATTTCAGTGTTAATACGTATCTTTAATTGTGATGTTATTAATGAGGAAACCTTCTTATTTATATTACATATTAAAATCAATTCTGTCATTCAATTATGAATATACATATTTTATTAACTCATTTTCTTGCTTATAATTTTATATCATATTTATATATAATAGATTAATGGATACTACTTATATAAATATAATATAATTGTAAAATACTATAATTTCCTTAGCTTATATATTATATTTACAGGGTTTTTTCACACACACACTAATAACCAAGTACACCTAGAAAATTTAATAGAGTATTAATAGATAACATTTAGACATTAAGTGTAAAAAACAACTAGATTATGTTTCAATGAATTACATTTAATTTTTGCATTTATTTATTTATTTGGAGGGGTCATGCACATACCATATGCATCTATGGAGGTCAGAAAACAACTTATGGGATTGGTTCTTTCCCATAACACATTATTCTGGAAATCAAACTAAGGTAGGCTTGACGGCAAGACCATTTACCCACTCACAAGAGCCATCTCACGAGCCTTGGCACTTAATTTCCAAATGAATTATGAAATTTTTACTGCTTTAGTACCATAAATAAATTCAGGTTGTATTTTACTAGAACTTACGATTGACAGTGGAAAGAGGTAGTCCCAAGTTAAAAGCTACTGAAATTGGCTAGTTCATGGGAGTGGGTAATCTTTATGTGAGTACTATCAAGGGCTTATTTTTACTTTATGTGTATGAGTTTTTTGCCTGGATGTATGTGTATGTGAAGGCAGTGCCGGCAGAAGCCAGAATCCCCAGGAACTGGGTTGAACTGCCAGGTGGATGCTGGGAACTGAACCAGGATCCTCTTCAAGAGCAACAAGTGTTCTTAACTGCTGAGCCATCTCTCCAGCACCTCCCGAATATGATTAATTGGTACTTGCTTTTCCTCCAGAGCTATCACATCGCTGTACAAACAGCAGTGATTGATAGTCGACTGAAAGTTTTCTTATCAGCATATGGCATATTCCTCATAGATTTCCAATAAAACTTGAAGTAATATGTTTGAATTAAACATTTCTCCTGCAGATAAAAACGGACTCACCCAATCAATAGTCACAAATTCTAAATGACAAGTTTAGGAGACCTTATTTATCATCATGTCCCTGGAGGAATTTAAAATGGATGCTGATTGAAGTGTAGATTGATGGTTCCAGGACCACAATTTTATTATTAGGACTTCACTCGTATTCACAAAGCTTTTTAATCTTCGTTAGTTAATGTGCAGGATACATTTAAAGACAGACTGGAGCCGCGTGCCAACTGCAGACCTCCAGGCCCCTCTGCTCTCAGTTAAGGCTCAGTTCTTTCAGGGCTCGGTCATCAATGACCTATTGCCATCCCACCTTCCTAAGCCAATTTTGAAAGTCACTACTTAAAGTTTAGGTTTGCACAAAAATATCAGAGGAACTACAGGAATCTTCAACATCAAAGTGGACGTTTATCCAATTGCCTAACATGCAAAAAAAATAGTTTCTGTATAGCTAATTTGTAGGCACCAAAAATAGAAGTTTGATGGACATTAGGGAGAAATGCCCTGATCAACAGTTTTAAATCCTGCGGGACAAGGGAGAGATGGTTCTCCAAAGGAAAGGGGCCCACAGCACAGGAGGAGGGGATAAAAATATTGGCATGAACGGAAGCCTACTGTCTGCTTTACACACGCCTCACAGAAAAATAAAAAAAAAAATCTCTGAGTGTGATTTAACGTTCTTGCTTGCCCATTTTAGTGACTTAGCTAGTGTTCTGGTGTAATAGTATGTCATGTTCAATTTAATCAGTCCCCTGTGACTGTTTTTGTTTTCTTCTGAACTCTAAGAACTTTGGACAAACAATGGCACATAGCGAGTAGCTGATAAATATTGGTTGATTTTTCAAAATGGAGAAATCTAAAATTCTGGGGAGGAACGGGCACACAGAGAAACAGGACATTCACCTTTTCTATTTTATTCAGGTTTGACACCCGAAACCCAGTGGTTTCATTCCAGATCAATAAAAAGACCTTAGCAATTCACAGCCTTCATATTAAATGACTGAAAATAATGTGCAAACAATAATAGGGCACAGAAAATGGCCTATTTATCCTGATTATACAAGTGAGGTTATTTAACAGACTGATTTGGGATGAAGAGTTCAAGGATGTTAATACTCAAAGATATTTTACTCAAAAAAATAAATTGCCTCTCCTGTTCATTACTACTGAGTAAAAAGGTGAATATTTTACCATAACCTAGTAATTATATGGACAGACACAATCAACAAAATCTAGCAATCCTGCACTAATAATAGTGGTATGGTTTTGTAAAATATTATAAAATTTACTAAGAGAAAGAATCTACACTATGCAGGGAGTAAAATTATAAGATGAAGAAATGGCAACCAAGCTGATTTGCTTCAAGTACTTTTCAGCTTTTTTTTTGGAAGGGTATATCAACCTCAGTGTAATATAGATTCCACATTCTTTTTTTGTTTGTTTGTTTGTTTGTTTGGCTGGTTTTTTTTGAGACAGGGATTCTCTGTAGCTTTGGAGCCTATCCTGGAACTAGCTCTTGTTGACCAGGCTGGCCTCAAAGTTAGAGATCCGTCTGCCTCTACCTCTGCCTCTGCACCATCCTCCAGTCCGAATACTGGGACTAAAGGCATTCGCCACCACTGCCCAGCCAAGATTCTACATTTCTAACTGGATAATATTGCTGACTACCAGCTACTTCATGTCAAAGTTATGGTGAAAGGAGATGAGAAAGAAACAGACAAATTAGTTCAAGTCTAGAGAAGTGGACTTCGAAGCCAATTATCTACTAAATCCCGTGTTTCTGACTTTCAAAACACTTGTACAACTTTACAGCTATCATGAACTCTGGAGAGGTAAAACAACTAGGGACATAGTGTCTGGCTGTCATCAGCTTTGATTAAAAAAAATCAAAATATGGCCTATTTGAAACAAAGAAAATGCAGTCAATATGGGGCAAATAGGCAAAAAAAAATTGGCATTTTCTTTGTCATTTCAATCACTGAACAGTTTAGAAAACTGTAGTTAGAATACACAAGCATTTACTTTCCAAAGAAATAACACATCACACTTTACTATTCCTTAGAATTCCTTGTAGTGGATATTCACACTATCTCTTAATCACATTGGCCCACTAAATGCTCATTTCCCTTACCTTGTGTCCTTGTCGTCCCGGTTCACCAATTTCTCCTTTTGCCCCTTTATGACCCTAACAAACATAAAAAAAAAATAAAAACACAAATAAATAAAGCTGCATTGGGTTTGATGTCAAAAGCGGCCAGAAGGCTCCTAAAATTGTTCTGCCTCTCTAAATTTGTGTTAAAATACTATGAAAAAAGATTATGTCACAAAGCACAACACTGCCTTGGAAGCTTTAATAGCACCATGTACACCATGTGACTCATGTATATAATAGGCATCAGCTTTATTTATTCATTTATCAGGAGGATAACACTCCTCTAGACTAACACCTGCTCTGCCAGTCAGTTCAGCAGCAAGGTGATGCTCACCTTGGCTTCCAGTTTCCCCAGCTTCCCCACCAAAGTTAGCTTTGAAAGTCTCCAGCACAAGAAACTTAACCCTTTCAGAAGCTGCCCAGCTATCCCTTGCTCCCAGATAACCACACTGAAATCTCGTTTGCCTGCTCTATAGCCAGCTCCTTCCATGAGGTAGAGGAAGGGCTGGCATGAGAGTAGGTGTCTCAGAGGCAGCATTACTTCCTTCCTCCCTGGGAAGTGTGAAAGAGAAGGGGCAAAGAGTGAAAACAAAAGCTGCACCGCAGCAGGGGATTGGGGGTCCCAGCTGTGCCAATCTCACATGGGCTGGGAACAGTAACACCCAGCAAACTGTGAGACAAGTTCTCAAATTAGGTCTGCTGGAACTTCCACCTCTTGTAGTGATCATGTGTTTGCACTTTTACAAATCAAGCTTGTCTGAAGATCAGAGTGCAGAGATAAGCCACTAGAGGCCAGGGAGGGGTGGCATACACCTTTACTCCCAGGACTCATGAGAAAGAAGCAGACGAATCTTTGTGAGTTCAAGACCACCCTGGGCTACACGAGACTGAATCAGTCTAAAAGAAACAGAGTTTCACGCAAAGGTGATCTCAGCCCTTGGGATCACAGGGCTTTAATCCCAGCACTAGGGAGGTGGAGACAGGAGTAATATGGCTGGGTGGAGAGAGGAATACAGGCAGGAGGAAAGGGGGACTCATTGCAGGCTGAGGTGCAATCTAGACAGTGTGAGGAGACAGTCATTGGACAGGATCGCCCTTTATGTCTGAGCAATGGTAGAGGTGAGAACTCTCTAGTGGCTGACTGCTCTGTTCCTCTGCTCTCTCAGCTTTCACCCCCTAACATCTGACTCTGAGATTTTATTATTAAGACCAATTAGAATTCCTTCTACAGCCTCTCTCTGGTGTTTTGGAAAAATAAGTCACCTCCCATATAAGTCTAACCCTTCCACAGCATTGCAATTGAGAGAATTCGCCAAACTGCAATTATAGAAAACCCTTTGGAAACCTGTGCCTCTCAGCCCAGCGTCTTCCAATCATAGCAGAGCAAGAAGGGTCTGGAATTTCTCAAAATCACTTCAAATTCAGAGAATGGAGGGGAAAACAATTGTTTTCTTTTTTTTTTCAAAATAGACATTTTTAAGTATCATGATGGCAAAGTAAGAGAAAGAACCTTCAGGAAAATCTATTCTGCACAGGTCCCCCAATTATTTTTTTTTACCATGACATTCTCAAATTCTCATCTACACAGTGTATATGCACAGTCTCCCCCCACATCCATACCTCCATTTTCCCCTATAGAAGACAAACATCCAGTCCTGGATTTCATGTTCAAGTTTCCTGGCCCAGTGCATGCTGGGAGCATTTCCTCGCTAACTACAGACATTCTATAACTGAACACTTGCACCTCGGTAGGGGCACTAGTTAGATTTTCCAGGCTGAATTTGTGCCACAGACAGAAAGAGCAATGGCAGACTTGACTAATCTAACCAAGACCAGTGGTTAGATGTTGCCACTCTTTAAAGGAATGGAATTCTTCTTACCCGCATGCCTGGAAGGCCTGGGTATCCAGAGCGACCTGGTGGGCAGGAATTGGGGCACTGACAAAGAGAGGGAGAGAGGTAAACTAGAGCACCTACTTTGTGAAAATGAGAAATATTTTTTCAAGGAGTCCAGCTACAGAGTCCCAAGGCAATCATAAACATTAAACAACTCTGAATATCCCTTTCCTTTGTTTTTCTTTTAACTTTATAGAAAAGCATGGAGAATTCAACAGTCATCCTGCCATGTGCTCCTCTTCCACATGTTACATGTAAACATTTTATCGTATTTATTTCAGATCTAATAAAAGAAATGAAATTCTTTAGACAGTAGACTGTAGCAGGACCTTGTCTGGCCTCTTCCTTCTCTGCTGAAACAGCGCCATCCTGAGGTCACAGCCTTTCACCATAGACCAAAACTCCATGAGTGTGGTTTGCCATTGTTGACTACTCATCTAGACATAAAACATCTCCCGAAACTGGAGTACTCCCATGGGAAATCACACCTTGGGCATAGAGCCAAAGGCGTGAACAGAAACAGTGACCCTTCTCCAGTGAAAACCCTTGTGTGAGAGAACAGTCCACACGGCTCTGCCATCCAGGTTAAAGGAGAACAAGCAAATTCCAGTCAGATCATTTGAAAGACAGCTCATCTGAAGACCACACGGTCTTTAAAACTATTACGTTGTACACACGTATAAAACACCACGATTAAACTCATTGTTTTATATTAATAGATACTAATAAGAAAGAGTTACAAACCATATTGTAATCAAAGGAAAAATCTTACCAATGGGTCTCCATCATGAAATCCAATTGTTCCCTAAAGTAAGTAAAATAAAAAAAATTGAAAATAAAACTAGATGATTTACTCTAAGTTATGAATGATAGAAATTTCAAAATCTATTTTGTAATATATAACAAGGGTGCAAAACTATAATAAGGGTATTGATTTTATGAAATACAAGGAAAAATAGAAGAATGTATGTTAATATTTGAAGATTTATTGATGGGTGATTCCTTCAAAGATCCCTAAACTATAGTTGGTTAACTCTTTGGGGAGATGAAATAACTGACAGTGTAGAAAGTGGGGAATTCTGGCACATGAATGAAAATATAGAGTATCACATACTTAAACTATTGTTTTGATTTCAACTTTGAAAAACTTAGCAAGAACTAATTCGCATGAAAATGCTTCTTCTCATGTCAACGTTTTAAGCTCTTAAGAAATCACAACTATCAAAAAGCTGTAAACAAATAAGACCTCTCTGGGAAAGCATCCTTTAGATTATTGTGGTTCCTCTATGTTTCTGGTTGTAAAATGAAACAGACTGAGTAGATTAAAATGAAAAAGAAAAGAGAAGAAAAACACAGTAGCCATTTTGGAAATGCAGAACAATGACTTTATAAATATTTCCATGTTTGCTTCTAGGACTAGTTCCCGTTCAGATACGAAAGAAATTTAAGGTGGAAATTACTTACACTGGGTCCTGGGGGGCCAGGGGGGCCAGGTGGTCCTCTTTTCCCAGGGTCACCCTAGGCCATTTCAAAATAGAGACACAGTAGTTACACAAGATTCAGAATACAGTTCATAAAACCAAGGAGCCATGAGAGAAAGGCATTGCTAGAAAGTCAAGCAGAACTCAGGCAGGCGTGAGCCTACCACCAAAACCCGATTAGTTATCCAACACCAGGCAAACAAAGAAATTCTGGTCTTACCATGGTAGAGAACAAAGCAAAGAAAGACATGGAAAGGGGGCACAGATTTCGAGTCAGCTATCTATAGCGTTATCCCTCTACCTACTTGAAACACAGATCAGAAATCCCATGGATTGATCCAGTTGGTTTACAGAACAGAGTAGCTGGTATTGCTAGTGTTATTCAGATAATTAAAGCAAAAGAAAGCACGGACCCAGCCCTAAATTGAGAGTGGAAGACCCATCTCTGCAACCCCTAGTCTGAGCTATCACTGAACTCTTGCAATGGACAGTGAAGCAAGGATAGCTAAATTAAAATAATCCATTCAGATGAAAAGGGGTTCAAATTACTCTGAATGCCCTATTTTTACTATTGGTACATCTTATTTCTTAATATTTTACATAAAAAGTCAAAAACATCATAATTATTTTAAATATGCAATCATAATTCATTCATTTGTAACATATATGTAAGTAACTTTGCATACAGGAAACACATGTATAGAGCAAGAAAGATACATGGCATTTGACTCCTCCCCTCAATGAGATTATAATTTCTTAGCTTCTCATATCAATTTTTAAGTGTTTATAGAATATCACACAAAACACTTTTTATCAACAGTTTTCTCAGTCAATTTCAGTTTCTTTCTATTCAATTAGAATAAAATCCTGGCTATAATTTAATGCTTCTAGTATGGTATTTATAGTGATAACTGAGTGATATTGTTTAATTTCATATGGATAATTTAACAGAAAAGACACTGGATCCCAATCCTAGATGAAAGTGTAATAATGGGATGATATCTTTAACTTGAAACTCAATTTGCTGCAGGTTAGGAAGAAATGCTTAACTGGAATAAAATTCACCTACAGTATTGGGAATTTCAGGGGGAGATGCACAGTGACCCCACTGCCTGCAACAGTAGCACCTTCTTTCAAAGGATCAAATGTCAACCAAAAGGCACCATGGTACTTACACTAGGTCCTACACGGCCAAGTTCTCCAGGAAGTCCTGTGGTCCCAGGAGGACCCTGAAGTCAACAAATCAAAGGGACAATCAATCTGATTTGTAATAGTGTTTACAGTCTATCATAAATGATATGAAAACTGATAAAGAACCGACTTAGAATCACCCATCTTTTCTCATGCTGGCTTGCAGTGAGACAATAATTCATTTAACAAAACTGGTTAGAGTAGTAGGTATAGGGTTAGGTCAGACTTTTAGAAATAGAGTATTTTCTAGAATGTGTAAAACTATAAACAATAAAATGATACTTACAGGGGGTCCTGGAATGCCACGGCCCTAAAAGATCAAAATAAAAATATTTATGGCTTGAGGTTTGAACATCATATAAACATAGTCATCGACATGGCTCAATGCACAAGAAGCTGAAACTCTTACACTGTGTAAATAGACAAGCAGTGCTCACTGGAAAGCCCTGGACGGTGGAAGCAATATCACTCTACCTCAGACAAAGCCAGGAGTTTGTTTCCGTCCCTGAAGCCTTGCTTTGATTCTATGCTTACCAGTACTGTTTTGCTAAGGATTTTTAAAAGAAAATCAATAACGAAGCCTTCTATGCTCGCCCTGACTCACAGAAGAAGCTATGTATGCTCGCCCTGACTCACAGAAGAAGCTATGTGTGCTCGCCCTGACTCACAGAAGAAGCTATGTGTGCTCGCCATCACTCACAGAAGAAGCTATGTGTGCTCGCCCTCACTCACAGAGGCACATCACAACCAGATAGTCTAAAGATTTTCTTCATCTGTATAAGAAACCTGTATTTAAGACAACACAGCTTTATAGGTTGTAATAATGGTATTTACACATTCCTATAAACAAGCTGTTGGCACAGAAAGACAAAGGAGTAACACCTTTTTTCAGTAATATGGACTGGCTCCATGGGTAAGAGAGCTATTGCTCTTACGGACGTCCTGAGCCCTGCCCAACATTAGGCAGCTCACATCCCCTTCAATTCCAAATCCAGGCAATCCAGTGCCTTCTGGTTTTGAAGAGACTTGCATGAGCAGAGTACACATAAACTCATGCAGGCTTATGCACATGCACAAATAAAAATATTTTGAAAACAGATGTACCCCTTTTAACAAGTATGACTATATTTCTGCACAGTCACTTTAATAGATATTTAAATTAAATTGATAATACTTCTCATAATGGGATCTTTATGGAATATACTATTTGGTTTTAAAGATCATGATTTGACTCTCCCTTTCCTCTGTCCTTCATATCCCTTTATTCACGCCAGACTATTTCAGGCTGAAGCCACATCTTACTTATCCTCCCCTCGCAATTCCCAGTGCAGAGTCTTGTATACAACAAACTCCAGCAAGCCAGAAAACGGGTGCTACTGGAGGTGAGCATGGAGAGCATACCAAATCAGTCTTGGAAAGACAAACATCACTTTTTTTTAAAGTTGTTGTATTCTAGATTTTTATAGAGAATTATACAAATAATATTTATATTGTAATGCATTTATAATATAATAATATATTATTATATAATAGTTATATGTTTGTATACATGATGCAAAAATAAAACTATCACAGGGGACCAAGACAACCAATAAAAAAGAGAAAGGTTGATAAAAAGGAAGCAAAGAAAGGAGATCAAATGGGGAGAGGACACAGAATGATGAAAACAGCAAGAAAGGAGAACAGAGCCGAGTCCTCCTGCACGCGAAGAGATACCACTGCGCTTCTCTGGTGAAGAACACATCTGTTGAGCAACAGCTCATCTGGATATACAGCTGTGAGGGGCGTGACGCATCATGAGACTTACACTAGACCACACTTGGACCTTTGCTCAATGGTTCCTAGCACTGAGGCAGAAGCGCCAGACGCAGCTAAGCATTGTGGTTCACACCTCAGGAGGATCACTGCAAGACTAAATCCTGCCTGGGCTACATAAGAGTAAGACTCACTCCTTCTGTCTCCAAAGAAAATCACTTTGAGAAACCCCACCTGATAGGGACGCCTGCTTTATCCCATACCTTTGACCTTTTGTGGCCGCAATAGTGTACTTACTATCCCAATGGCTCATAGGCCCTTTGTTGTGTGTATTATGTAGGAAACTGCGTTACATTTTTCTTCCCACTGGAAGAATTTTTATCTAAATATAGGTTTTCAGTTTTGTTGCTTTCTCGCTACTAGTACTTACCGGAAAACCACGAGATCCAGGTACACCAGGTTCTCCCTAAAAAAAAAATAAATAAAACCAGTTTCACTGTTCTTCTTTCTTTGAAGCATGAATATGAATATAAGAAAACTGAATAGATACCGAAATCTTTAATCCAGCCTACTAGATGTTCAGCGTTTCAGTTGATTCGCAAACTTTCTCTTGAGGTGTTTTCATTGGCATTTGAGGACACTATATAATTAACACCAAGAGGCTAACTTACTTTTTGTCCCCTTGGTCCAACAGAGCCAGGGGATCCATCAGGTCCTGTTAATCCCTAATGAAGCAAGAAAATGATGTTAGCACTGTCGTAATAGCCTAGAAAAACCACTGGGCAGATTTTTTTTTTTATTTTACTAATTAACTGTAGGTTGGTTTGCACATGGATAGCACAAGTATTTATCAAGTAACACTTTCGAACATATCCTTATTTAAAACCCTTTACATGGGATCTGCTTTTGACTTCTCATTTTTTTTTGAAAATTTTATGATTTGGTAACTGCAGTGCCCACAAGTTCAATAACTTAGTGAAATTTTGAAATCTCTGCTTTGAGAAAATGCAGTGTCTTCAGTTTTCTCCAGTTGAGTCTGATGGGCTTTGATTCTGCCCCTTTGCTATGTTTATGTGTCTACTTTACTTCACCTACAAAATAAAAATATTGTATGTCTTCCTAGATGTGGGTCAATAATGTTTTGAAAGCTAATGCAATGTTTTCTTAGAATAAATTAAAGACAAATAATTTTATTATTACTTAGAGCCACCTTATACCCTCCAGCCATCTTCTAGCAACGACTTAGTAAAGAATATTAACTTTTGATTAAAAAAAAACTTGAAAGCATTCATTTTCCTTATTAAAACATGTAACAATGTATGTTATCTGCTGGGTATAGCTTAAGCCTAGTATATATGTCTAGTGATCATATCCCATTCTAAGATGTATTAAATGTACTTTCTATCTATTCTTTTCTATTAATAATTATTTAATCATCTTATTAAATATAAAAGTAGAGAGATGAAACCATAATAATACTGTATGCAGGCCACATTTTCCACATTTGACAGATAAATTTCAGTTTTTACTATTTTTCTGTTTAATCCAGATATTTTCAGATGCTGTCTATGTAATGTTATCTTGAAATTCTATTTTCCTAAAGATAAAAATATGTGTGTATATATGCGTATGTGTATTTATGTATACATGCATATAAATATCTCATAAAGTCTATATCATCAGGAGTCTGAGGTGAGAAAGCTATTAGTTCAAAGCCAGTTGCGGCTACATTCAAGTTGTTTGGCTGCTATAAAGCAAGACCATGTCTCGGCAAAATAGGAAAGAGTGGAGAGAAGATGAGAAACAGGAGGGGGAATGAGAGAGAGAGGAAAGAGAAAAGAGAGAAGAGGAGACAAAAGAAAAAGGAGGAGAAAGGACTCCATACTTAATAGAGTCCTAGCACATTGCCCCTTGGCATCTAACACAGTCAATGCATGATGAATGAACACTTTACATTTTGGTTCACCTTTTGGGTAGAAGGGTCCTTCTATGTCCTCTTTGATTATTTGGCCCAGCTCTGACCCTACCTACTGCTGCAGGTTTGTGCACATTGCTTAGCTATACAGTACTCTAATGCTATTCCTCATTCAGACAGGTCCCTACAAACAAACATCTGGGTATTAACCACAGCCTGACACTTCTTTGCCTCCTCAGATTTCTTCAATGAACACTGACCTTTCAGAATAATGTCTTAACCAACTACTCCTGCTGGGACACATATCCCATTGAAAGGGAAAAAAGCATTTAACATCATGCCTGTCTGGTATCATATAATTTAACCACATTCCTATGTGCACCTGTCTCGTGTGGTTCCTGTAAGAATTAAATACTGTTTACAGAGCTTTCTGGGCACTCTGCAACAAACATCACTTGCCACAACCTCTCTATCGAGTATTATCCATAAGAGTAACACAGCTGTCCTTTGGGTGTAAGGCTCTGGCTTCTCTATTCTATATAAATACAAAAGAAAAGAAGACCAGGCGTCGATAGGTGGGAAGAGAGACTGGAAATACATGAACACACACAGCATGCACAATTTTCAAAATCCAATTTGCAATAAAACCCTCTAAATCTAACTTCAAAGAAATTACAGAGAAAAATCTCTCCAGTGGCAGGGGGAACTGCCTTTATATGGGTGTTTAGGCAGACAGAGCTTCATATAGAACAGGATTGGAGTTGTGCCCTGAGCCTTTTGATCACATTAGTCAGAAAATTCCTGTCCCCAGCATCCTGCCTCTTGCTTCCTTCCAGCACGCCAGCAGCTCAGCTACTGACAACAAAGTGTACTACTAGAAGCATAGCTGTAATGACAAACCTATCAAAATCCATTGCCCATGGGAAATGAAGTCACTTTCTCAGATTTGGACAAACATCATCCAATAATCATTTCAGAATCATCACCAAAAATATGTGTAACTTTCACTGTGAAATAAAGAGTAGAAGACAAAGAGATTGGACATCAATATCCCTGATATCACTGTCAAAAGAGTTCTTCCAAAGCTTTCTTACTGAGTGTTTTATTACCCAGAGGCTAGGCAGAGGCGCCCATGCCCTCTGAGGGAGCTATTACTCACTGTTATCAAAAATGTCCTTTCTCAATGACTGTGAAAGGCTCTAATGTCAACTCAATGAGAGAGCAGTAAGAAAACTTAACAGATCCAGAAGTCCTGATTGACCAAAAGAATGGTACTCAACTTCACACGGAAAAGCAAAAAACCCATGATAGCCAAAACAAGCCTATAAAATAAAAGAATTTCTGGAGGCATCACAATCCCTGATGTCAAACTCTACTATAGAGCTACAGTGCTGAAAGCAGCCTGGTATTGGCATAAAAACAGACAGGAGGAGCAATGGAATCAAATCAAAGACCCAGATATTAATCCACACACCTATGAACAGCTAATTTTTGACAAAGAAGCAAAAAATATCAAATGGAATAAAGAAAGCATATTTAACAAATGGTGCTGGCATAACTGGATATCACGTAGAAGAATGGACATAAATCCATATCTATCACCATGCATAAAACTCAAGTCCAAATGGATCAAAGACCTCAACATAAAGCCAGCCACACTGAACCTCATAGAAGAGAAAGTGGGAAGTACACTTGAATGCTTTGGCACAGGAGACCACTTCCTCAATATAACCCCAGTAGCACAGACACTGAGAGAAACAATTAATAAATGGGACCTCCTGAAACTGAAAAGCTTCTGTAAAGCAAAGGACACAGTCAACAAGACAAAACAACAGCCTGCAGAATGGGAAAAGATCTTCATCAACCCCACATCAAACAGAACTCCAAAATATACAAAGAACTCAAGAAATTGGTCATCCCCAAAAAGAGGAACATGGGATGTATTCACTCATATTTGGTTTCTAGCCATAAACCAAGGAGCCTCTAATTAGTGATCCTAGAGAAGCTAAATAAGGAGAACCCAAAGAAAAACATATAGGCATCCTCCTGAATATTAACCTTCAGCAAGCGATGAAAGGAGACAGAGACAGAGACCCACATTGGAGCACAGGACTGAAATCTCAAGGTCCAAATCAGGAGCAGAAGGAGAGAGAGCACGAGCAAGGAACTCAGGACCGCGAGGGGTGCACCCACACACTGAGACAATGGGGATGTTCTACTGGGAACTCACCAAGACCAGCTGACCTGGGTCTGGAAAAGCCTGGGATAAAACCGGACTCTCTGAACATAGCGGACAATGTGGACTACTGAGAACTCAAGAACAATGGCAATGGGTTTCTGATCCTACTGCACTCACTGGCTTTGTGGGAGCCTAGGCAGTTTGGATGCTCAACTTACTAGACCTGGATGGAGGTGGGGGTTCCTTGGACTTCCCACAGGACAGGGAACCCTGATTGCTTTTCGGGCTGAGGGGGGGGGGGGACTTAGTTGGGGGAGGGGAAGGGAAATGGGAGGCGGTGGAGGGGAAGAGACAGAAACCTTTAATAAATAAATAAATTTTAAAAAAAAGAAATTGGTCATCAAAAAAATCCAATAAAAAAATGGAATACAGACTTAAACAGAGAACTCTCAACAGAGGAATCTGAAACGGCTGAAAGACACTTAAGGAAATGCTCAACATCTTCAGAGAAATGCAAATTTAAACAACACTGGGATTCCATATTACACCCGTAAGAATAGCCAAGATCAAAAACACTGATGACAACTTATGCTGAAGAGGTTGTGGGATACAGGGAACACTCCTGCATTGCTGGTGGGAGTGCAAGCTGGTACAGCCTCTTTGGATATCAGTTTGGCGATTTCTCAGAAAATTAGGAAACAACCTTCCTCAAGTCCCAGCAATACCACTTTTGGGTATATATCCAAAGGATGTTCAATTGTGCCACAAGGACATGTGCTCAACTATGTTCATAGCAGCATTGTTTGTCATAGCCAGAACCTGGAAACAACCTAAATGCCCCTCGACTAAAGAATGGATAAGGAAAATGTGGTACATTTACACAATGGAGTACTACACAGCAGAAAAAAATAACGACATCTTGAATTTTACAGGCTAATGGATGGAGCTAGAAAATATCATTTTGAGTGAGGTAACCCAGACCCAGAAAGACAATTATCATATGTATTCACTCACAAGTGGTTTTTAAACATAAAGCAAAGAAAACCAGCCTACAAATCACAATCCCAGGGAACCTAGACAATCATGAGGACCTTAAGAGAGACATGAATCTAATCTACATGGAAAGTAGATCTCCTGAGTATATTGGGAGCATGGGGACCTTGGGAGAGGGTTGAAGGACAGGGGAGAGGCAGGGAGTGGAGCAGAGAAAAATGTAGAGCTCAATAAAAATTAAAAAAGAAGTCCTAAATGACTCTAATTCAAAAACTGAAGGAAATGCAACATTAAAATACTTACAAGCAATCACTGGGTGCCAATCATCAATAATTTTCAACCCTTACCGTATTACATGCCATTCTTCTTAGCTGGTAACTTGGGTACTAAAAATCCACTGCCACTCTTTTCCTCTACTCTTTCCATCCACCCATCTATTAAGAAGATGCTATCCAGCATATTCAGGGTGGTATGACTGCCAATGTATTAAGAAACTCATTTGTACCTGCTCGAGGTAGAACTGAGTTGCCAAAATGAATTCAATAAATATGAAAGTCTTTGTTGTCTTAGCACCTATGTAACTCTGGGTCTTTGAGGAAGTTATTTAACCTTATAATTTTTTTTATTTTCCTCTTTATTGGAAAAATAGCATTAGAACAACTTTCTTCTTAGGCTATGGTAAGGATGAAGGGAGAATATTTGTGACCATGCTTGAGAAAAATGCCCCAAGTATATGAAAATGCCACAGTAATTTTCTCTCAGATTGAGAAATGCCTAAGACACTGGCACATGTGTGAATTTTCTCCCTTTCCCACCTCTCTTTTCCTCTCTTTTGCTTTCTTCTTCTGTCCTTGGTTTCTTCTTATGGAACCCTTTAGAGATAGAAGTAATCATCTAACAAGCTCGTACAGCTTCCAGTATTGAAAATGGTGTCTTTTTTGCATCCTGTGCGTCTTTCCCACACTCTTGTCTATAAATATAGACAGAACAAACCAACCTGTAACTGTTTTCCTAGTCTACTACTACAAAATTCAGAACACTTTTGTTTGTTTGTCCAAATGGGAGCATAATTTAAAAAAAAAAAAGATTACTTACAATTTGAGATTAAGAAAAAAAAACTGTTAAGCAAGTTTCAAAAGCACCACTAAACTGAGGAACTACCTGGGCCATTATAGGCACCATGGTACAAACCTGTAATTCTACCACTTTGAGGAAGTATTGTGAATTCCAGGCCAGGCTGGGCTACACTGCAACACCTTAGACACATAAACAGACAGACAGACTGAGGGACACTGAATTCTAGCATTCGGACTGAATTGAAATTAAAGTTCAACAGGAAGACAAGATTTTAAATAAATTATTTATGTTTCTAGCACAATTTTTAAAATTTAATCTGAAATTTTCTCTTCCTCCAAAAGGAAAGTCTGGTTGAAATTTCAAAAAAAAAAAAATGTAGACAAGATCTCCTGAGTAAATTGGGAGCATGGGGACCTTGGGGGAGGGATTAAGGGGAGGGGAGAGGCAGGAAGGGGAGCAGAGAAGAATGTAGAGCTCAATAAAAAAAAAAACTAGTGAGGAAATCAACTGATACTATACTAGTAGTTGACCTAGTGGCCTGGCATTTAAGAAATAGCCTTACTAGGATCTGACAATTCCAAGTAATTCAATTTCAAAAATCTTGATAGCCAACAAGTTACATAATCTCACTTGTAGTATCCGAACATGAGTTGATATTATCCATACATTAATCCACAGGAGCTAGCTCATGTGTCGCCATATTTGAAATGTACACACACACACACACACACACACACTTTGAACTGTAAAACAAAGGGTGGCTCCTGACACACTAAATAATACACATATAGACATCTGCACCAAGTTAATCACAACAAAATACACATGTCAGAGTAACAACTAAAATCCAGCCAGTTGCTTCTCTCGTAACAATGGAGCTTTGTTTGTCACTGGCAAAAACTCTTGGAAATAGCAGGTATAGGTTTTGAGGTGCTGGCTTTCTTTAGAAAAGCCTTTGGGTTTTGCAAAACAAGTAAGGGATAGTTGATGGGAGAGAGACTTGAGGAACCTAGAAAGTAAATGCCATCTCTTTGCAACCCAGAGACAGACAAATGCCAAGTCCTGATGAAGGACCAAATCAGCTATGAGTAGTGGGCATGCTGAGAACTGGGACTACTTCACTCTGGGGAGGTATTATTTACCATATAACTGAGCATCTAACATCTCAAACCGATCCTTAGCTTCCTGTTTCCCAAGCTGAATTTTAAGTTTTTGTGTCTCTGTGTTGACCACTCCCTGCCCCTACTATATCCGTACACACTCCTCCACTCACTCTGAACAAATTTTCATTTTTTATATTACTGGGAACTGAAATACTTCCTGTTCTTTCCTACATCCATCTTGATTTCAGCCGGGGGTTTTTTTCTAATTTTTTTTTTGTTTTATTATTTCATGTGTTTTGCCTGCATGTACCCCTGTATCACATTCACGCTGTGTTCCCAGAGACCAGAAGAGAACCTCAGATCCCTTGGGATAGTTGTGAGCTGCCTTGTGGATACTGGGACTAGAATCCCCGACCGTCTGGATGAACAGTGCCAAAGCTCTTAACCACTGAGCCGTCACTGCAACTCCATCTTTCTAATTAATCCAGGGAGTTCCAGAGGAAAGCAGAGCTCATCTACTGTGAGACCTAGCCCTCCACTCACCAGAACCCACAAGCCGCCACCTTCCTCCCTATGCAGGCAGTGGAGGTGCGCGTTCATAGGGTGAATAGGGAGAGACTGTTGAGACGGGAACCCATAAATTCACCATTTTTCTGAGATGCCAAAGCTCTGTGCGGTGGAACCCTCCCATGACACTTTGCAGGGTACCACAGCATATCTCTCTCTCCTCTCTCTTTCCTCTCTCTCTCTCTCTCTCTCTCTCTCTCTCTCTCTCACACACACACACACACACACACACTCACTCAAACAGACACTCTCTCTCTTTCTCTCTCTCTCTCTCTCTCTCTCTCACACACACACACACACACACACACACTCACTCACACAGTCTCTCTCTCTCTCTCACACACACACACACACACACACACACTCACACAGTCTCTCTCTCTCTCTCTCTCTCTCTCTCCCCCCCCCCCCTCTCTCTCTCTCACACACACACACACTCTCTCTCTCTCTCTCTACTCACATCAGCGCCTGGTGTGCCTGGCTTGCCTGGCGCTCCTGGCTTGCCCGGGTCTCCAGGAGGACCCTAAGAAGGAGAGGCAGGGAAAGAAAACAAAGCAAATTTAAGATTCTCCAAACACACACGGGTACAAACATATCTCAAGGAAGGAGGTGAGGTGCCATGACGCCAGTCAACTTACCGGAGGGCCCACGGGACCCTTTGGACCTCGGTCACCCTGGAGACAGAGAAAAGAGTAAAAGCAATAGGTAAGCAAGAGTAAGTAGCTGGGGACCCACGGGACAGTCTCAGGCGTTCACACCCCAAAATTATGGAGCGAAGCCAGGATGAGGGCCTAAAGATGAAAGTTCATGCCCCATGGGGCAACAGGTCTAGGTCTCCTCTATAACAATCCCCAGGTTACAGTATCCAACCCCGAACTTTCACTGGCACCTCTTCTTGGGGGTGACAGGAAGGGGTCACGAGGTGCTTTCTAAAAACTCATCCAAAGCCAAAGAAGTATGGGAAAGGTCTGTCTTGTAGAACAAAGGAGATACAAACTTACATCAATGCCATCTATGCCCGGAACTCCAGGAGGCCCAGGAGGCCCTGGAGGCCCCTGCTCACCAGGAGGACCTCTCTGCCAAAAACAACGCACAGGGATTAATGAAGAACACTGTGCACCATCGAGAGCAACCGAGCAAAATCTTGCCACCCCTCCATCCCCACACACCCCGACAAGAACGCCTCTCTGATGGGATAAGTTTTAGAACCAAAATATAGTGTGTTTCCACCTCCTATGAGATACACTGTCCATGGTGGAGTAGAATTAATGCCTACAAATAGAAGTTCGCTTGGCACCACTTTCTCAGAAGGCTTCAGAAAGACAGAAATTGCGAAGAAGAAGCGGGTATCTAACGTTCCCCCAACAGAAACTAAGAAATGACTATGGGGGTCATTGATAGCGTCACTGCAGGTCAGTCTTGTCTCGAATGGAGCAGGTCAGGCTCGAGCAGTCCCGGGACAAACAGTTTCTTTACAGCTGCAAGCCTTTCTTTGTCCAGTAGACTGGGAGCTCGCTGCGTGCGTGGGGGTAAGGGGGGGGGGGGATTTAGGTTTGGGAGGTATGGCTTGGTAGAGCCCTGAATTCAGGAACCTGACTTTGTTTCACATGACACTCCCTGACAATAGGTGTTTGCGCCTTGCTTCCAAAGTTACACAAATTTCAGAAGGACCCTTCGCTTTGCGAGCCCTGTGTGTCCCTTGTCACAAGCAGGCTACTGTTTCGAAGGGTCTGCAGGGAATACTGGCGCCTGAAACGGTATTAATTTGTTGCTTTAGGGAATGTGTTCCCCCCTCTGCTTCTAGAGGGAGAGGGAATGGTGAGAGAAGAGGGAGAGAGAAGAAGGCTGCTTTCATCAAGAAAGACTTTGTTTTCCTGAACTCCAAGGACCAGACAGGTTACAATGGGGTCTCTGTAAGTGAAACCTCATACCTCCCCTGGCCTCCCTGCCTGGCTGCTGCACTCTCCCTTGCCAGGGGTGGGGTGGGGAAAGACTCTGGAGACATTACTAGAGTTCTAAAGGGATCCAGGACCGCCAGGCTTCACTTCTGAACTGCTAGCAGGATCTTGAGGTTTAGTGGTTTCTCTCCTGTGGCAGGAAAAAGCTTGCTCGAATTTCTGCCTTGCCCATCAGCCTGCCCTTGAATAGGGCCGGGATCGAGGGGAAGGATAAGTAAGCAACAGTAACAACAAACAAACAAACAAGAGGCAGATTTAAGCCCTCCAGTACTGTGCCTTTAGTGCCAGTGTTCGAGTGGGAGAAATGGCCCCCTTTCCCACATCAGTGGGTCCCCCGAGGTTCCGATTCGGACCCTACTTGCTGGAGGTACTCCAGGCTGCAGGGCAGCTGGCCAGAGAGCCCTAAGAGTGTTCTGTGCCTTCTCACCATACACTTGGAAAATGCAGCATTTTTCATTTTTTTTTCCCGTTCCCAGCTTACCTCGTCATCAGTGGTCTGGCTGGGCTGTAGACAAAAAGATGGAGAGAAAGTGAGCAAGCACCCCGCAAACCCACGCACAACTTACTTGAGCAGCACAGAAGCAGAGCCCTGACAGCAGCAGTGGCAACCCAAGTGCTCCAGGGCCCCAGGCAGTCCAGGCCATCCTGGTTGCTCTCTGCTAATCCTCTGGTGGGACTCTGCAACCTGATGCCTTCCAGACTCCTTGACCCAGCTGAGCACTGTAAAGTGGCACTTGGACATTCAAATGCACTGGGAGTAGAGGTTGCAAAGGTGCCCTGCTAAGGGGACCTGGGTTCCTCCTGTTTATGAATGGCCTGGAGAGGGTCCTGGGGATTGGAGGAGAGCTAACAGGTCTGGGAGGAGGGATAGAATGACAACGGTCCCCTTTAACTCTTTCCTGGCAGCTGCACCCAGCTTGAATGCATACCCCTCCTCAGTGTGATTGCTGACTGTGCCAGGAGCCTGCCAAGGCTCTGTGCCTTACAGAGGAGCAGACTACCAGTGCTTCTGGAGATGCTGAGCTGCCAAGTGTAGCAGACACTGGCCTGTTCAGAGATCGCTTCTGCCCCCAGGTTGCAAGAAGGACCTGTGTTTCTTTAATTCCAAGCTAGTCAGTATAGCAAGGCAGACTCTAGGGAAAGAGAAAGTGGGAGGAGAGATCTAGAGAGATTGGTGCTGAGGAGAAGGTGAGGTGGGGAGAAGTCGCTTTTGCAGGTGGTTCAAGGACTCACCGTGCTTCTGACTGGCAGCTCATGACATGTTTCTCTCCTGGGTCTCAGTGGGTCACAATGAATCAGCATCCACTGGAGTTCAAACTGGCGAGAGACAGGAGAGATCAGGTCAAAGAGGAGTGTTTCGTTGTTGTTGTTTTTTTTTTTTTTTTAATATGGTCTATAATCCTTAGCAGAACAGCAAGCACAGCTCTTAATTTTTCCTGAGAAGAGTTTTTAGTGGAGTTGTCTGGAAACCTTTCCAAATTCCTCTGCTCGTTGGCAGGGGATGTCCTTAGATTTGATTCACTCCAGTGTAGCCCTAGCCTGGAAGCAGACCATTGGCATTGACTTCCCATTTCTTGTTGACAGAGGTTTTCTGTCCCACCCAGTCCTGCAGCCATTAAGTCCCAAAGAAACACACACAGGTCTACATTAATTATAAAACGGATTGGCCCATTAGCTCAGGCTTCTTATTAACTCTTATAACTTACATTAGCCTATTATTCTTGAATGCTGTGGGACAATGGTCTTTTACACTGTCACTTGTATTATTTTTAATAAAATGCTGATTGGCCAGGAAATATAGGCAGGAAATAGAGGCAGGGCAATGAGAACAGGAGAATTCTGGAGAGAGGAAAGCTCAGTCTGGAGTCGTGACCCAGACGCAGAGGAAGCAAGATGTGACAGCCTTGCTGAATAAGGTACCGAGCCACGTGGCTAACATAGATAAGAATAATGGGCTAAGATAAGTTATAAGAGTTAATAAGAAACCTGAGCTAATGGGCCAATCAGTTTTATAATTAATATAGACCTCTGTGTGTTTCTTTAAGACTTAACGGCTGCAGAACTGGGCAGGACAGAAAACCTTGGTCAACAATTTCTGTCCTGGCCACACCCTCTAGAAGTCGATGCTATTAAAACATGGTTCATGGATGGCCAAAGCAAACCCTGAAAACCAGGATTGCCATCTCCACAGGAAACACACTCTTAAACTTCACCTATGAGATTAGAGATAGAAATAGCAAGAGGTGACTACAGACAAAACAGATGGAAGAAAGAAAACTTACTCCTGAAGAAAACATCCTCCATAGAATAGTGGAGAAATCTATTTTGGAAGAGAGTTCAAACTATTTCAATTCTGTATATGAGTACTCATGTTTGAAGAGAGATAAACTTTTAAAAACTTGAAACCTAGTCCTGACAACTTCTAATGCTCTCAGTAGGCTATTAAGGGAGAAAGATTAAAACAAGGAAGAAACAGGGTAAGCCAAGGGTTTCCAGGTCTAAATCTGAAGATAGTCTTAAATGAAAGACAAGAAAACCTGCAAACCCCACCAGAAGGCCAAAGACATGCCAGCCTGTCTTCTGGGGAGGTAGGTTCCTTGCTGTGCAATCAAAATTAGCTCCTTCTTTCTTGGTCAGTAGGTTCTACTGGCCCTAGGCAGCTGGTTAGGTGGCTAGGTCTCAGATTTAAACACCATGGCCTTCTTTTCAGCCCATCATGATTCCCTTTCTTTCCTACCTGCCGAATGGATTCTAGAACTCCCAGCTCTAGAAAGATATGAGATACCTGTTTCCCTACTGCTGCACGCACACACATCCAGAGTTGAGATGTGGATGTAGAAAATTAAACCTGAGACAAAACAACGAGAAGTCGTCCACTTCCAAAAAAGTAGGGAGAGAAAAGCTGAGGGTAAGTGGGTAAGTGCCCCTCTTACAAGGAGGTGAAAAGGACAGAGTCAAATGAAATAAAAACCCTGAGCAGCCATCAGGACAGACGTTAAAATGGAAATCTACAGATTGCATGAGCACTGTGCTGTGCTGGCTTAACAATAGAATGAAGACATTCCTCAAAAAGTTTGCAAAGCTACACAGCCTCTTAGAGTTAAAGAAACCACTTCGGCAAAACACTACCTTTATCAGACTAGTCTTGTTTACTGGGGGAAAAAAAAATTGAGTTTTACTTTCAGTTGCAATAGAAGCTTTAAAAGGAAGATGAGAAGAAGAATTGAAATGAATTTTGACTTAATGACAGCGGAATGCATGTCACTTAAGGTTGGGCACAGACAAAGTGTGAAGAAGAAGTCAACTCACTTGTAGCGGCTCATAGAGCCGAGAAAGGGCAAGTTTCTAAATGTCTCAGATATTAAATTAATAGTTTTTCTTCTACATCTCCCAATGTTTCTGAAAAATGCACACTATCTCCATAATGTGACATATTGTTTGATACAGGTAACCAATATATTTGTCAACCAATCATCTATATTAAAGGGGGATTGAAGCAAGAACTAAAAATTAAAACTGTACATGTTTAAATCTATCATCTTCTAGAACCACCAGAGCTAAGCTAAGAACCTTTCATTAAAGAGTCAAAACTTTCCCCATTTGTGTGCTTGTTATAGAAACACACCCAGAAACATCCTCTGAAGATCAACAGCTGTGCCTATACGCAACTGCATATACACATGCATTGCAAAATAGCACATGGGAAAGAGAATTATCGCTCTTTTTCTCCAACAAACTACATAATACGAAAATATATATTTCTCATCCCCAATCTTCAAAATAGAAGACTACACCACACAATTTTATTCACTAAGGCCTGTGTGGATTGGTCATGCAAACTCGGTATGCACTGCAGGTCCATGAAATACTAGTTTTGAAAAGTGATCACCCTGAGGAACATTGATCAGATGGCTATCCAGGGAATGTAGATCCTTCTTTGAGATAGTTTGTCAAAGCCACCTCTTCCAAACCTGAAGTCATTCTTTAAGCTGTCATCCTAAAATTGTAAAACGCTCTGGATAAATTGCTGCACCTGTTTAAATATGCAGAAAATGCAATTGTGGCACAAAAAAATGGAGAAATGAAATGCATTTCATCTGTGAATACAAGCTGGGCTGTTCAAAGTGATCAAGGGTTTCCGAACACACCTGCATATCCACATAAACACCTACACACTAATAATCAGCTATACAACAACCATTTTTTTGGCAAGCAATGTGAATTCCAATTTGCATGCTAATTATGTTGAAGGAAGATTGGCAGAGCGCTTTTGTAACAGTTTCATTATGCAGCCAAAATGCTGATTTCTCATTTTCATACCTGGGATCCTCGTGCTCTTTGAATATTCCCTGACAAAACATACGTGACAAACATTTTAACTTAGGTTTTCAGTCAACATTTCAAAGCCCAGGATAATGCAAGCACCGAGGAGACAGGGTATGGAAGCCAGATAGCACCCATGCACAAACAGTTCCCAGTCTGTAAGATGAGGGGAAAATGCGAATAGAGAACTAGAACCTTCTAAAAAATCTATGAAGGCAAGATGCGCCTCAGGAAATGCCGTTGTTTGCAACAGGAAATTCTTCTCCTTCTCTCAGGGAGAATGGGATGATGTGAGTGGAAAGTCCTCACACCTGTGCAGATTTGGCCTTATCCAAATGTTTCATCTCTAAAAAAAACCTTCAGAGAACTTCATTTCTGAAGCTAAGGTAGTGCTCAGCTAATGGAAGGACGTTAGCGTTGGGGCCCAGATGCCAACTCTCTAGTCTTTATTAATCGTGTTACAACCATGGCTACTTATTTTGCTAGGCTGTTGAGAAAGATTAAGTATTTGAACTCAATTCCAGCTAACTTAGAATGGTACAAGTTGTGATTTTTGTTAACGAAATTATTTTGACAATTTGCTGGTACTAAGCACCTAAGCTAATTTTTGCTGACAATACTGAGGGTTCAGATCTTATCCTGATGTACCACTTTTGCTGAGATGTTGCATTCTTCCATCATCAAGAAATGTCTCCAGATGGCACTTCCTAGGCACTGAGCAGGAAGTTCTGAACTGCCTCAGAATCAAGTGTTGTGTAAAATGAGTCGTGTGGTTCAGACATAGTGCAGTTCAGACATAGTGCTGGAAATAGAATTAAATATGGGCAGAATGGTGACAGGAGAAGATGTCCTACCTGGAGTTAGCACACTGGGAATATATTCATTTACTAAATTGTGTGTTTAGATATAAACATCATGGAAGGCACAAAATATTACTTAAGGGTGTATATGTACTGAAAAAGTATTTTTAGCAATACTGCTAAAGCGCATGAGATGGTAAAATGTTTTCCTGGCTAAAGCCATCATGTAACACATAATATGTGAATAGTTCCAAACGGCAAGTGAGATTTTCCCATGCAGCAATGAAAGACTAAACCCGGGGTTTTGGAGAGAGGGACTAGGACAAAGCCCACAGGTAGGACAGAGTATGCAGAGGGGGACCGGGATTAGCTGAGGCAGAGCACGCATCAGGGCTTTCCACACTATGAATTCTAAGCTGAGGAATTTCAATGCTCGAGTGTGAGCATCAAAGATTTTTCTTCAGTGGATAAATATGGTAACAAGTGGATGGAATTCGAAGGGACTTTCATGAAGAGTCCGTTGATCATGCATGTCTGATACTTCAGGCAGGAAGCTATTACAGTAGGCTTCAAGAAGTCCTACATACTGCGCTATTGGCAATGCGTCCTAAGGTATCTGCCAAGCGGAAATAAATCCCTCTCCTAATTCCACAAGCTGTCCAGCTCCTGTTCAGTTACCTGTACCTCCTTCTACAGAGCTCAAAACAATCTACACTCGGTCTCCAACACCTCTCCACATTTGCTCTTGAATCCTTTCCACCTTGATTTCCACTCCCACCAGGCCAGCGGATCTTTGATCCAACCACTCTCATGGGTCTCTAAAACCAACAGGCAACTGTCAGTCATCCTCTTATGTGGCTTATCCAGCATCTGAAACAATTCTTGTGCCATTCACTTTGAATCAGTCTTTCCCCTCAACTTTCAGGACACAGCAATCTCCTTCACTTCGCTATGACAGCCACCTTTTTTATTAAGTCTTTCCTCGTTGTGGCAATAATCCTGGACATCTCAGAAGACAGTCTTCAGTCCTACACTTACGACGTGACTTGATGGCTTTCATAATGCATAAATGTTCACAGCTCCCAGGGTTCAGTTCCTGTATGATCCTGGCTCGTAAACGCCAAAAGCTCACAGCTAACAGCCTGCTCAACGTCTTGCCTCAGAAGCTTAATGACATGACTCTGCAACCTCATTGGCTGTTTCTCATTTCCTCTCCTAGTCTCCCTGCTTTGCAAGTAGCACTCAAATATCAGGTAACACCCATCCTTGTCCCTTGTCACTCATGTTCTCTCTTCCTGCAACCTTCCTCTCTGAGGTATCTTCAGGCCATTACCTCAGGTCCTTAAAGCTACCTCAAAAGTGTTTACTCCTGAATGAGCCCCAGCTCAACCTTCCATTCCGCTTTCCCTGATAACATTTATGATTTCCTGGTACACTATGAACTATTCAGCTCCTCCTTGTGCCTCTCCCCAGAATGTAACCTCCATTTAGGCATTAACTTTTGTATTTCTTAGTCACATAAAGTACACCTGTAACTTAGTAAATATTTTTTAAAAATAGTTGTTTAATATTAATAACAGCCAAGCGTGGGTGGTGCATGCCTTTAATCCCAGAACTTGGGAGATAGGGACAAGCAGATCTCTGTGAGTTCAAGGCCAGCCTGGTCTTCAGAGTGAGTTCCAGGACAGGCATCAAAGCAACAAAGAAACCTTGTCTCAAAAACAATTTAAAAAGGAGTATTAATACAGAACACAAGGATTGTACATTGCTTACATCACTAAAACCATAGCTTCGTATATTTCTCAAATGCCAGAAATGCTGATTACAACATCAAACATCTTTTTTCCCAGGTTATTGTTCATGAACCTTGCACTGTTTTCACATTTTCATGTAAAGTGACCCAGTGCTACAGAGTAAAGAAAAAGACAGAGAGCTCCTCTAGCAATGGTTTTTCCCACTCAGTCATTTTTCTCTAAATCTGAAGGAAAAAAATTACAGCAAGGCCTCCGAGATACACTTCACATAGCATCAAATCCGTCATGTTCTATGGTGATTTATTGGGAATATGCACAGGTAAAGAGAAGAATGATTTGAGTTATATATGGGGAAATCCACATAAACTTTTATCCTCCCTCAAACAAGACCAAACTCCCAATGCAGTGCATCCCTGGAAAGGGAGAACGGCTAACTTTGTTTTCTAATAGAGCTGTACCAAATAACTCTCCCAGGCAATCATGTTGACAACAAACAATAAAGAACCTGTCATAAAGTAACATGTTTTCATGGTAATCTGCCAGGGAACCATGCTTTGCAGTAGGATAAATGGCACCATCCTAAGCTACAGGCACAGGGGAGAATAGGAAATGAGGAATTTATTGCTTTAAAATCAAAAATAACAAACTTACAGATATGCAAAGGGAAAAATACAAAATTCTCTGAGCCCACTAAATAACTATAAATGATGAGAATGGGTTTGAATTGTAGCCCACAAGAATGTTCATGAAAGCTTCTTGAAATTGTTTTCTTTTTCCAATTTAGAAAAAGAGAAGGAACACGAGATAGGAAGGATGGGGAAAGTCACAAACAGCTACAACATAAGCGAGTCTTACAGCATTAGTGATCTATCAAATGTCTAGGTTCCATTTTTATTATGCAGTTCTTATACCTACCTTTGATAGCTGATAATGCCTGTGGAGAGAATATCTTGCTTTTGGTTTATTTACAAAAAAAAAGCAAGAATTGACCCTGAAACAAATATTCAACCAATAGAACATGTTGAAAATTAGAAATAATCCAATTGTATTCGGAAAATACTAAAAAATGTAGATGTTTTTCTGGTTTCAAGCTATTTCATGTTATTTTTAACTTGAAAAAATCCTTAGAAACTGACACTGAGTACTTGCTGTCCCAAACTGAGAGACAGGTGACCCACTATTATGAGTTTTCTGCTTCTTGAGATACATGCATATCACTAGCCATTGCCCTTTAAGACCTTAAAGGAAGTAGCTAATTGGCGGTGGTCTTCAATAATTTCCAAGGACTTCCGCCTTTAGGAAAATTGATGCAAAACCCAAGATGACAGGCTATAAGGTAAAAACAGGATCTGGGCCAGCTCAGGGGCACTTGGATTTTGAAGACTTATGCTTGACTGCTTTAGTTCTAAACCATGAGGGGTAGTATAAAAAGTCTTTAGACGTTTGGAAAGGAATAAATTGGTATATATGAGTTTCCAAGTGAGAATCCATCCACGTCAAATACCGTTTTTTTTCTCCTCTCCAGGATTCTCTTGGACACCATCTCCTTTAATAAGGAGACCTTGGGTTATCTTATAAAATTATTCTAAAGATCAGAAAGTTAGAAAAACAGGATTTTGAAAACATCTAATTGTTATATTAAAGACACTGAAATGATTTCTTCAAGGAAAATGGACTACTCTTGTACACTCTTCTCCTAAGAAGGATGAGGAGAAAAAAAAGAGGAAGAAGTATCGGGTAAGAAGAAAGTAGATGAGGAGCTGGAGGAAAGGGAAGAAGGCTACATCAGGGAAAAGTTTGAGTATGATAATATCATTTTGATGTTTTTGATGGAAGCAGAGTTTATTTGTTAGCCTATAGTTTCCATATAATTATCAATGTTACCATACCACCAACACCACTTAATAATGAACTTTAGTGGGGATTTGGGCTCAGATCTTTTTTGTTTCCAGGAAGGGGTCAAGGATCCAGAATTCATTCTGAAAAGGAAAGACTGCATGTGCCTATACCAAATTATTTTAACACTGGTGTCAGCATGATGACTTTAAAAAGCTCCTTACTATCCCAGAAGCACCGTGTAACACTCAGATGCATTCCTACATGTGAGGAAGAAAACGGAAGATGACAACATAAACTTCTACGCACTGAGGTGTGAGACTAGGTTTTTCAGAAAATCTATAACTAGCCAAAGGAGATACAGCATAGCAAAGTAATACTGAGACTTTGCTACACTGGAAATAAAACAATTGGAAGGCATCTTTAATAGTATCCAGAAACCAGAATTATAAGATCTTGGAGTGTTTTTAAGGTCAACAAATCCATTTTTTAATCAACTAATACTCAGTGCCTTGAGAAGGCATTTAGGCCTTCACTCCCTAGCCCGGGTCCAGAAATGGCACTGGCATCGCAGAGGCTGTGTTGTCTGAAAAACACTCCAGGGTCATTTCAGAGTTCCTGCTACACAGAATTTGAGCATTTTACAACAGTGGCCGCATCAGCTTTCTAACCCAGCCGCTTGAAGCATGATGACTCATGAGGTGAAGAAATACTTCCTCAAGAGTCTACGAGCCAGAGCAGCAATGTGGCAGCTCCAAATTGCTCCCTGTCTATCACAGAATATAGAAATTTCACACCAGCCTTCACACTCATCACTGCACTTCCTGTAAAAACAAGTCATTTGAACAATTCCATTACTGAGATCCCCGAAAGCCTCTTTTTCCCAGAGAAGTGCGCAGAAACAATTCAAAACTACCGTGTCACCCTTGCTCTCTCTGTGACATAGACTCTGTGACTAGAATATAACAGCTCCATACAGTAGGAGAGCTGTATTAGCATCAACAGTTTATTTATATTGAATTTTATCCTCTTCTGTTTCCCCCAAAGAATCCTTGCCCTCTAAGGTTGTATTTTTAAATTATTGTCAAAATTCTATGAAAGAATTGCTACCCAGTGTTCAAAATGATAGAGCTAGAAGGTGCTAGCTGATACAATTGTGATGTCACTTTCTTACTTCCATCACAATGGATTTCTCCAGCAAAACAATGAACAGAATTTAAAATTCTTTACTTCAGGTAAGAGCGATGGTTCAGTAGTTTAAAACCTGCACTGCTTTTGCCGATGACCAGAATTCGTCTCCCAGCACCGACATCGGTTATTCACAACATCTGTAATTCTAGCACCAGGGAATTCAATGCCCTCAGATGTCTATTACACAAAGTCTAGTTCTAAGTAAATACATCTCATGCCCTTTATATAATATAGCTTATCAAACATCATTTGATTTCCTTACTTTACATTTTACCATCCACATTCACTAGCCTTCACTTATGTCCCACAAACACTCCATTTACATACATACATGTTACTCAAATCAATTAGTGTCTAGACTTTTGAATTAATCCTAGTTGTTCTTGAATTGTTTTCCCTCAGTCATTTTTACTGTTATCTTCCCTTCTTTGGCTGATCCAAATCCTTCCCTTTCAAAATTTATTGCTTTCAAAAATGATAAACTCCCTGACTAACTGGATTCACGATTTATCTCTAATTTTTCTTGAAAAAAATCTAATTCATTATACATACATGGTATGTTCTGAACTAGTGTGGGTCTCCTTGTAAGTGGTCTCAAAGGCTATGAATGCTCCGAGTGAGTGTCTAACACCTTAATTCCAAGTAGACCTTAACCTCCTTCAAGGAAAAAAAAAAAGATTATCTGCTTCACTAAAAGTCAGTACTGCACATGGCACTCAAAGCTGGTGGTGAGTGCTTTCTGAATGAGTAGTGGGATGTATTTAATAAACCTTACAAAGTGAATCACTGTTCACTGTATGCCCTGTAGCTAATGATCCAGAATGTTTGGGCGCTGAGCTTAGCCACCTGAGTTTGTCTTCAGCTAGAATTAGTGGTGGAACTTGGTGGTTTTATACTCACAGGAACAGAAACCCGAGGATTGTCTGCAAGCTTCCCCAGCACAGCGAAGCCATCGGTCTCAATCTGGCCTCTTGGCTTTATAGGTAAGGACTCAATCCTGACGCAGTCGAGGAAAAGAGTGGCACTGGTCCTTTCCACACCAATCATGATCTTATGCCACTGGGAGTCGAACAAGGACGGCAAACGTGAAAAGTCTGCCGACTGGAGACTTCCATCCAGTCCTTTGTAGGAGAACGAGACAGACTTTGTTTGGCCGTTTATCCTCACGCCAACTTGCTCCTTCCCTGAGGAATCCTGGATCTGCCAAATGTTCCAGTTCTTCTCAAGTGTGCTTCCAGTCATCCGGAAAGTGGTTAAGAAGGAATATTCTTCAGGCAGTCCACTGGGATACAAATGCCTGAGCAAAATTTGAAAATAATAAATATAAACCTTGTTTTCTGTGCTTATACATATTTACCATTTCTGGTGTTTGTGTTATTTTAGACTCTAGCCCTGCAGAAGGGTTAGAGTGTAGGAAAACTATGCAGCATTTGTTCTCTGATGACATCTTATACAGACCATCATAGTTCAATCATCCATGCACATCAATGCTCCACCTTAAAATACACAGTTTTAAGAACCCCCTCCCTCATAACTAGTGAAGGCTCTCAACGATATTATTATTTATTCTACCCAAAGAGCCACCATTTAGCAATGCCACCCCACCCAAAACCACATTTTTTTTTTTTTTTGCAATGTTCGGGGCAACATTTCCTTCAAAAGTGAGGGAGGGTGATCATTTGAAGTCTAAATCAAATCTACTAGCTTATAAAAAACTATTTAATTCAACTGGATTTTAATTTTTTACACACATTAAAATTATTTGGTATTTTTATAATGGCCAGGCTATTCTCAAATTTTGCCTTCTGGACCCATATGTTGAGAATTAGTAACAAACAACCCAGCATCTCTTTAAAGGCTTCTTCACCCTAAGGATGGCGTTTCTAGGGATTTCAAGGATTATAGTGAAGCGGTAGCTCGTTGTTTGGTGACTGGAGGAATAACGGGCAGTGAGCGACCAGCACTTCCTTCTCCCCTCCAGCTCCACGCTTCCTCAGTCCACCTCCTAAAGTTACATCATAGTTACTTTCCTCGCTGCTTTAAATGGAAGCTAAAGCCAGCAGCATCCCTAAGACCATCCTTATCTGCCACCTATCTATCTACACTTATCTACAGATCTTCTGTTGAAGCAAGTCCTGCAGGGTTTTAAATACTAACGTCAGCTTTCAAAGTCTTTAAAGTTATTTCGTTTCATCTTCTTCTCTGTATAAGAAAATTCCTCAACAAGAAACGCGAGGAAAACTAAATGTGAAATGTGTTTACTAATAGGAAAATTGAAAACAATTACTCACTAAGACAGAGAGTTCCAAACAACCTTCCTGAAGGTCAAACTTATGTGCTTAGCTCCTTCTTACAAAGGATGAAGGGAAGAAAGGCAAGAAGAAATATCACAATGGGTATTGATTTCATGTATATGACATTTGTTGAATTGAAGCATAGTGTGTGTGTGCAGGTGTACATGCAAGCACACATGAACACACTTGCGCGCGCACACACACGATTTTGTAAAAGTATACAAAAGTTTTTAGAATGTGCTTAAAAAAAAACACTTTAGAATACATTTGAGAAAGACAAAAGAACTATCTAAAGTCCTATTTTTTCCACAATAGAAGAACTACCACATCACTCCAAATACTTTTTTCTTCTTTTCCTTTTGTTTTGATTTTTTTTCAATTTATTTTTTTAAACAATCTTTTCTCATTTTACATACCAATCCCAATTCTTTCTCCCTCTCCACCTCCCACTTCCCCCCACCTTCCACCTACCCCACACCCATCCACCCCAAACAGGATGGCCAAGATCAGATACTTGTTTTAAATATAATTTTTCTCAACTGGATTGTCGCAGTTCCTTTGATTCCATATTTTTTGGAACTATGCCTATTCCAAAATAATCTCTAAGAAAAACCCCAAATTTATTCATTCATAGATATCCTCATTTGGAACACTCACAGAATGCTTCATTCTTAGATGCACGGGCATACCAAGTATGTTCATATGTGTATGTCATCTCCCTCCACACATATGAAGAGCAAATGATTCTGTTCACAAATGTAACTATGACTAATATGTTAATAATACTTTAGCATATACTATGTTAAGAGGTTAATAAAGAAAATTTGCCTCATTATTCATATGAATAAAATATACATATTTGAGTGTACCGAAGACTGTTAAATGTCTCTGAAGCCTAATATACAGAACAGGCTGCCTAATGTATTTTTAAACACCTGAGATTCTGTTCTTGAAAATATGCTATGCCTATCAATAAGTAAACCCAACAGCATACATAATTTAAAAGAAGTTACGTCTATAAATGATTTATTGTATTCCAATCTTCACGAAGTTCCTTAAATGGAGAACCATGTGGGTTCAAATAAAAGATTCAAAAGTTTTTGAACCTTGAAATATTTGTTTATGACCTTAATACGAAGACAGCTAAGGTCTGTGCTGCTAGAGAAAACAAGCAGACTAGGCTGTAAACAGCAGTTGAGAATGGAAAGCTATTGTGCCTAAAATAAAGAATAAACGGAAGCAGAATCATGTCTCTTGATTCTTCAGTAATTATAAAGACAAATAAGTAAAAATTGTGACTGTCTAGCATTGCTTTGTATGATATATTTCTCTCCAATGAAGAAACCGCCTATGAATGTTTTTTCACTGTCTCAGAATATTCTCTGGGGAAAAAAAAAAGCATTTCTGCTCCCTGAGAATGATTCCAATCCCCTCCTTCTTTGTCATCTAGCTTTTGCGTGAGTAATTTAAAAAGAAGGAATGACATTCCATAGTGGATATGGACCCAGCTTTCATTATCCATTCATCAGTTGGAGGACATTCCCAAACCGATGGCAGCTTCCATTTCCTGGCTACTGTGAATAGGGTGGCAACAAGCACAGCTGAGCAAGTGCCTATCCCCCAGAAAGACACGGTCAGGTGATAGATCTGTATTCAATTGCTTGAGAAAAATGAAGTTTTCAGGTAAATTATGAAACTAGAAAATATTATGTATGAGTGAAGTGACCCAGACCCAGAAAATCTAGAGCCTCATGTTCTCTTATTTGCCATTCTTGGCTCTGAATCTCTAGATTTGTGTATATAACCTTGAATATCAGCAGAAAGTAGGAAGGGACTGTGGTGGTGGTGGAGGGGTAAGAAGGGTCTCGTGAGAGAAGGAAATAGCATATGATACAGGTGAAATGAAGGGGGGACAGTGGGAAACAGAGGGAATGGCGTAGGAGAGGAGTGGAAAGGGGATAATGGGCAGGGATAAATCACACTCGGGATATTTGGAAAAGCCATAGAATCACACTGGATTATTTTTACTTAAAAATACATATAGTATAGTATTTTTAAAGTACATATATATGTAGTCTAAATAAAGTTATGTCATGTGGTGACAATCAATACTGATCACCCTAAGAACCACAAACTATTTAACCAAAAGCCTAGTACTAGGCATGAGAAACCCGGGGAGTCAAGAGAGTCTTCAAACAATGTAGTTATTGCTACTGCTCTTGGTTTCTTCCAAGAATTTGAAGGCAAGACTTTATTGCTGAAGATACCACACACTTTAGACACAGAACCTGGAGGATTTGAACTGGGTCTGACCTGAAATCTTTCTTCCTGAGGAAAAGCCTTATGCAAGGTGCCTAGGGAGAAAAGCAACCAGAAGGCCTTCACAGCTGTGCCGCCTACAGACCACAACAGTGACCAGCATGACAAAGGATTTCAAAAGTGCAATAGTGGCACCGCATCTTGGGGACAACCAGTTGTCATCTAATTGGCTTTAAGGCCTGCTTAATATGAGGGAATTCATGCCTGATACTGCAAACCTAGCCAACCACCTGCGGCTCGGGAGGTCATGGACCCTGTAGGAGAACTGACTAATGGCACTTTCCTAAACCAGTGCAGTTTCTAACTCCATTCAAAATACATATCCTTCTGTTCACATACACAGAAGCGCAGATCTCATTCCTCATCACAGAAGCATATGAAGACTATTTCAGGAGGAGAAATGAGAGGGAACTGGGAGCTGGACACCAGCAGAGTACACGATACACATGTCTGAAAATTTTGTGATGAAACCATTAGCTTGTACAATTGACATATGTAAAATAATAATGACTCCAAAACCATATAGTAATCTTATTGATCATAACATATGCTGATAGTGTAAAACCTAGATCAGAGAAGGGTATTTGTTACAATGACACAGCTATTCAATTCACATATACCAAAGAACCTCAGCAATAAAGAATTTACACGTTAATTCCAAGAAATGATAGCAGTAAAATGAAAGCTGTATGTATATCTCCATCAGTTTTTCTGTTATAATTATTTCCCGTGTGTGTGTGTGTGTGTGTGTGTGTGTGTGTGTGTGTGTGTGTGGTTCTGTTTCAGCACTGGGACTCTTGAACAGCTCCACTGTGAGCCTTCAAACCACACTGCGGCTCCTGGTTAAATTTATGCCTCACTTCTGGTGCTTTTCACAGAGGGTCCTTTCAGTCAGAACCAGACAAATTACAGAAAAACAGAAAACAAAATACTAAGAACATATCCCGAATTGATGTCTAATGGTCTCAGGGATGTTTTCATTCCTGGAATGGAAAGTAAATTACCAACCTAACATGAGGAGCAGCATTCAGGTGCTAATGATTGATAGGAACACATTCCTTTGGCTTTCTTTCTTCTTTAGGAGTTCCTGGTGATTTAATCCACTGGCTAATGAAAGCCAGGTAAGTTCTACCACTGAGCTGTACCCCAAGCCCGCCCTTCATCTTAAAATAATCCAAGAACTACCGAAAAGTAAAAAGTCCTCTAACATTGCATTGCTGTAAGCATTTCCAAATGCCTTTAAGGAGGCTCATTAGAGCCCTTTCCGATGGGTTACCTTGTTGGGATCCTGAAGTCTACATCACTCCCAAACTTGTAAGCCACTTGTAGTGCCGTGGACCCCACCACCCTCTGGACCGTTCTTCGGGATGCAGCTCTCTCAACTTGGAACTGAGAGATCAGGTCAAACCCTACAGAAAGAGATAAGGAAAGAAAGTTGGAAATGAGACTGGTTATGTCCCCTCCCCAAATAGATTATATTTAAAAGCTTGAATTTCCAGTATGATACAGGGCTACTTGCCTGGCAAGTCATCTTGGCCAATCCTGATCTTGGGACACAGTTCAGTTCCACCATTGGGACTGGCAGGAACCCCTGCAAAGGTAGTACCATGTCATCCAATCCATCCACTACAAGATGCTAATTAATTAATTTAATATTTACTAATATTAAAACCAAGCAACTGCTTAAAATACAATGTTATACAGCTTTGCTTATAAGTCATGTGTTTAGCTTGAACTCAATGCCTCAGTGATTAGAATTTATTCACCTTCAGCTTCTCCTGAAGGGATAATAATTGATGATGGAAAAATGTTCCTGCCTGGAAAAGTTGGGGATTTGTTCCGTGTAGAACCAGAGCTGCAGAGTGTCCTGGATGGCACAGGTCAGAGCCTGTCTGGAAAATTTCTGGTGGTTTAACCTAGAAATATTGCTTAAATACCACAGATTCTAAGCATACAATGACATGACAGAGTCAGCCTTGAGACACCTCAACGGGACTCCCAGACAAGTGAAGTTCTTGGGGAATCATCACCATCAAAGATGAGTTTTTATAACTGCAATGCCCCCTCCTGCATTGATAAGAGATGTCTTAGACCTCACACACACACACACACACACACACACACACACACATACACACACCCGACCACCAACAACAACAACCCCCCCCCAAAAAAAAGGCAGAAGCAGCAAAATGTTTCAATAAAACCTAAGCTTTGGCCTACCCAGCAAAAGTACATCAAATATTTTTTTTTTCTTATCCTCCTGACCCCAGTGTTTTGAGGAAATCCATCCACCTACCCATCCATCCACCCCAGCATTCACTCAACATGTACCATTCACTGTCTGAAGAGGCATCATGCTAGGCTCTAGAAAAGGCATAGCTGTTCTTCCTGCTTACTGAGCTCAGTGCGGACTCCCTTTCCAGGCTCAACATTGTACAGGACAACCCATCAGTGCAGAACAAGGAGGGAAGGTGTAAAGGACTGCTGGAGGCATAACCAGTCTTCACCCAACCACAGCCCGGCGCCATCACAGCCCTGCCTGCTTCCAGTAGCAAGAGCTACTTCAAACTCCATAAACCATGGCTCTTACTTGGACGACGCTTAGGAGTCGCAGATACCCAGGGTCCCAGAAAACTGCATGCAAAGAAGAAAACTGGAATCTTCCTGAAGAGGAGAAAACAAGAAATGACCCAAACGGGAATTCCTTCCTATGGGAACTTGCCAAACCTGACTGATGGCGGCAACCAAATCCCAAAAACCTCACAGATGGCAGCAACCAAATCCCAAGGCATACCACTGCCTACATTTCCATTTTGAAAGCTGACTAAGAAATTTTGCAGATAAAAGCATTTCTGACTCCTACTGTCCCAATCACACATTCTCAATGTCTCCCTATCTCACTTACTATTCTACTTCTTGTCTCTGCTTTCTTTTATCTCTGCTTCCTGCCCCTCTCTTCCCATAGCTGCCTCTTCTTTTCCTATCTCAAATGCTTACTCACTTGCTATATTTTCTCATCTGTCTTTACCTCCGATCGCCCCTTGGTTCTCGCTGTCTCTCACCTCCCCTCACGTTACCACTACTGCAAAAAGCCTCATCCACCTCCCTCCAGAGTCCTGGGCTTACCAGCGGGTCTTCATCTTTCCAGTCAGTTCTCTTTGGTTTATAATAGTCACTAAGAAGAAGGGGTTGTTGGGGAGTCACTACACCCCCTAAGGCCCCTTCTCCTTCTTTCTAAGGCTCTTGAGTTTGGGCCCCAATCTTGGTCCTTCTTGCCCCTCACAGGGCTAAAAGCAAAGAGTGAGTCAGGGACAATGTCTAACAACTCTTTAAACTGAAGCAAAGGAAAGGGGTGGGGAGAGGCAGCCTGTAAGCCGGGGCCCAGCCAGGGGTGTGCCCTCAGAGCTAACAAGGTTACACTGAAGGAGGGATTGAATGGGGGAAAGCCTTGCTGCAAGGGAAAAAAAAAATCAGGATGTGGGGAGTTTCACCAGAAAAATGCAGCCCGCTGCTATAGGAATACAGTGGGAGCTTTTAGAGCAGCTATAGGGCACAGTAGAGGCTTTTAGAACTGTTACAAGGGCACAGAGGAGGCTTTTAGTGGCCCCTGGGCCCAGCAAAGAGCTGCCTATCAGGAGGCAAAGGTGCAGGAACTCACTGGAGCCCTGCTGCCTAGACAACCTAGACAACCACTTCTCCTAGCTTATCAGTTAGTTATATGAACTTGAGCAGGGTAATTAGCCTTCCTTTGTTTGACTGCCTTATGTATAAAACAGGATGAAAACAGTTCCCTTACAGTTACTGGGGGAATCAGGTGAGGCAGGCAAAGATAACAGATCTGACCCAAAACTCATTCCTTGGCACCCTTATTCTCCTGGTAACACTTCTTTGTCTGTTTCCTCCTCTTGTCCGTGCCTACAGCCTAGCAGTGTACAGTTCTCACAGCCGTGCACGAAGTTAGACTCAACCCAACATTATCCACTAGATGAGAGGATGAAGATACAGACCCGGGCGCCTGTCCCAAGCATCATTGCTGCTGGGCATTGCGTGTCAACTCTAAATCGCCGCAGGAAAGTTTGATAAGAAGTAACCTCAATACTTTTACTTGTTTTCTCTCAATCTCTGACGTTAATAGTGTCAAACTGAACATACACATACACGGGAGTACACAACACATTCTTTTTGATGAACAACAAAGCAAGAAAATTACTAGGATCGCAGACCTTGAGAGATGGTGTGCCCACACCACTGTCACAATTGCACAGGGCCTCGTCGTGAACCTGAGCACCTCTGGAGAAGGAACAGCAGGCCCCATGGCCTGTCCCCCCAAGCATAGGATGACCTACTTCTGGTTCCATCTTAGAGGACAGACAATGTTTTTACCTCGCTAAATTTTTATTTAATTACAGAACAAGTAGTATTGCTGTTTTTATTTTATTTTAGTGTGTGTGTGTGTGTGTGTGTGTGTGTGTGTGTGTGTGTGTGTGTGTTTGCATGTGGTGGGGAATGGAGTGCGTGACCCCGCAGAGGCTGAAAATTGACAGTGCGCGTCTTCTTTCCTAGCGCTCCACTTCATTTAAGGAGACATAGTCTCTCAGTGAACCAGGAACTTGCCAATTCCAGCTAACGTAGCTAGCCAGCTTGTGTTGGGGGATCTTCCCCTAGGGCTGAGATTATAGGTAACTGCCAGGTCTGCCTCTCTGTTCCGTGAGTTCCAGGATTCAACCTCTGGCTGGCAGGCTTGTGAGGCCAAAACACTACCCACTGACCCATCTCCCCAGCCCTTACTTGTTTCTAGCTTCAATAAGATCTCTTCTGCTTCAGCCTCTCTCAGCTCACTGGAGAGGCTCTGGTTGGACTTTGATTAAGCAATTACTCTCTTTTTATAGCGTTCTTCTCTGGCCCACTCATCAGAGGTTCCTCTCTCTCCCAGAAAGGGACATTTGTTTCTTATGTGGTGCTATCCACAAGGTTTTTACTCTCTGTCCAAATCCCCAATCCCTAAGGCTCAGAATAGAGCTATGAATGGCCTGAGCCCTGCTTATTTCTTTAAGCTAGTTGAAGTTTATGTAAAAAGAGGATTGTACCTTTGGGGAGCATCCTAATGGCCTGAAATTATGGGAAACAAGCCATCTTGCAGCATCAAGCATCTCTCTGCAGAGAGAAAGGCATTTCCCAAAAGGAATTTCTATTTAAGTATTTGTGATCTGCAAGAAAAAAGAGATGGGGTGGACAGATTTTCTTATCCCTGTAAGTGTTTCAGAAATCCTGCAAAGGGTTTTAGAGAACTCCCCTTTATGTGTGCCCCTCCCCAGCGCACTTTGAAAGAATCTCTACAACTAAAATAAGAAAACAGGTGATCAGGCCTTTAAATAAAAGATAAAAGAATCGAGGGGAACTAAGCTTGCTCATGAGTGACAAGACTTCTTTCCAGGCTGGCTGTTTATTTTAAATAGTGAAGAACAAGGTAACAGCTTTATTAAGACCAAAAAAATAAAAAAAAAGTAAACCTGAGGGGGAAAAAGCTACACACAACATTTAAAGATACTTTTGTCTCTTCCATTTAACTTATCTGTCATTAATTGTATTTCCTAACGTGGCATTAAGGTCTCACAGAAATCAGGATGGAATTTCACTGTCTGGTCTGGATCAAACTGTACCCTGAAGTTGAAAACCCTTAAGCTTTTCCATATTTTTCTTTTTTAAAGTTATGTGTATTGTGTCGGATTTTTTACATGACTGAAGATGCCTTTAGAGACCATCGGATCCGCTGGAGCTGGCATTTCAGGCAGCTGTGATCCAACAAACACAGGCCTTAGGGAATGAACTCAGGTCCTCTACAAGAGTGGTAAACACTCTTAACCATCTCCCCAGGCCCAGTTTTTAACCACTGTTCCCCCTACCTAATGACTCTTCCCCGAAAAGTCACATGGAAAGGAAAGTTGGTCATTTACAACAGATTGTAAATTCAGTAAGAAAACATGACATTTTAAGTAATCAGTTTTATATGGAATAAATAATTTTGTTAACTTAACTCTCCACCTTATATGCAAATATGCTATACTGTATATATTATATACCCTCTTTCCTTTTCTATAAATCAAAATGACTCATTACTTATAACTTAAATTAGGGGGCTCTGTCGCAGGCAATCATCTTTCTTGATCATCTATTGTCTTTCATTTGTTTGTTCAACCATTCAATAAATATTTATCCAATAACTGTATTGCATAGCATACTAGGAGTTTAGGAGACAAAAATACATGAATAAGCACATGCTTGCCTCGAGGAAACTCACAACATATCAGGGAATGAAAGATGACTGCACTACTGATAATAAAAATGACTGCCAAGTATGAACTCAATCCAAGGGCATGGGGAAATCTTTCATCCAGGAGCTGAACTCTGAAAGGGTGAACAGAAGCCTACCAAGATAATAAGGAATATCAATACATCTTAGGCAGGAAAACAGAATATCATAGAAAAAAAAAGCAGGGAGGAAACACAGGGGGAATAACAAGCTGAGCTCAGAGACATTTTTATAATTAGTCAGCCGTGTCCCTCCTCCATCAAACCTTGAACTCAGCCCTAGAGTTCTAACACACAATGACCAGGTCTCTGTCCCATAGAGCTTACATGTGGTTGGGGAGAGAGACACCAAACACACTATAAGACAATTTCAGTTGGAATTTAAATGAAAACTATGAGGAAACTGTGTGCTAGAGAGAGGAGTGGAGACAGAAGGGCCAGGAATGATGTGGGATATCCTTCTGTATATGTGTTGCTTTACTGGTTGATGAATAAAGCTATTTTGGCCAGTGTCTTAGCAGAGTAAGGCCAGGTGGTAAATCCAAACAGAGATATAGAGAGTAGGCGAAGACAAGGAGATGTCATGTAGTTGCCAAAGGAGAAGGACACACCAGAACTTTACCGCTAGGCCACAGCCTCATGGTGATACATAGATTAATAGAAATGGGTTAATTTAAGATGTGTTACTTAATAAGAAGCCTGAGCTAATAGGCCAAACAGTGTTGTAATTAATATAGTTGTGTGTGAATATTCAGGTCTGGGCAGCCAGGAAATGAACAAGAGGGCTCTGTTTACAAAGGAAGGCTGCTCTAGGGTGATCAATATTAAGGAAGACTGAATAAGGATGAAGAGAAAAGATTGAAGAAGCAGACTGGAAAGGGAAGGATTAGGGAAACAAAAATTGTATTTCTAGTTTTGAGCTTTTGAAAACTAAAAAGACAGGAAATTTTGTAAAACAGTGAATAGGGGAAACTGGGTGAGGGATCTTGAATGGCACTGAAGGGTTGAGACTTTGTTCTGGTTGCTATGGAAACTACAATAAGTCTTTGAGAACCCAATGAGACTTTTAGGTGTGTCTTTGAAAGGGATTCTGACGTTGCTTGAAAAATGGCTTAAACCAATTTGCAGAACTTATACATAAAACTAAAGTGAAAGTTTCAGAAAATGACATCTATGTATGTAAATATACTATAGTTTTTGATTTATTTTCTACTCCCCCCCTTTTTTCATCAAAGATGATCAAGTCAATTTATTGATCACAGAGCCAGTAATGGGTCTCAACTCATGTTTACACTGGATTGGAGCACAATGGCCCCTGAAAATGCCCTTTACTTCCTGATACAGAACTTGGGGCATCACACAAAACTCACAGACTAGTAGGGCGAATTCCTTGGTTTCTACACGAGTATCTGATTTTCTTTGAAAGGTGGTTTTGCATGAAGTAATAATGAGCTGATGACAATAATTAAAGATGTTGTGATCACCATATTTAATTACTTTATAGGTTTAAATGAAGAGGAGTGTTTTAACTAGCTTCTTAATGAAATCTAGTTTTAAGCTTATTAATCTGTCTTTGTTTTAAGAGTAAAGGATACACAGTGCCCGGGAGCACATGGCACCTGTGTCAGGGTGCAGCAAATTAGCCACAGCCAGAGCTGAAATTTATCATAGAAATCTCTGGCTGGGAGCCTGATTAACAATCAGAGAGTTGCTAAAACTAAGACTCCCACTGTCCTAGTCTGGGTTCAGTTTTACTGTAAAGAAACTCCACCATGATCAAAGCTCTATTTTAAAATCTGTTTATTTTGCTTCTATGCCTGTAATTGTAGTCTAATCATCGAGGCCCATAGCAAGCAAACAGGGC